TTTTTTTTTTGGTTGCAGCCGTCATTGTTGTTTGGCGGGTCCGGGCTGGGGAATCGAACCCGCCACCTTAGGTGTACGTGGCTGGCGCCTTAGCCGGTTGAGCTATAGGCGCCGAGCCTAGAGCAAGGACTTTAACTCAAGATGCCTGACTATAAACCCACAGCCTTCCCTTACTGGGTAGGGCCATTCTGTTCCCTCTGGGATGTGGGGGCAGGTTGTACTGGCCCTGCTGAGGTCTGACTCTGGCCCCAGCCTGGCCCTTCCCTCTGGACTCAGTAATCTCATTCTTTGCTGATTATGGGCTCAGAGTGGAGTCTGGGGATGCCCTGCTGGGGGACAGAGCACCAACTCACACTGGACAGCAGTCAGAACCAGTGATCCACAATTTGTAACACAGACCAGGCCTTTATGAAGACGCTGTCCCCTACCCCTGAGAAGTAGCTGAAGGCTTTTCATTGATTCCCAGAGAGAATAAACCTCAGGGCTTCCCCTACCTTTCCTGATCAAATAAGTGACCTGGGCCACTTCTGAACAAGCTTGTTGCAGACCCCACCTGGGTTAACCGAGGTGGTGCCCAGGGGCAGTCCCAGGTGATTCTCCTGGTCTGGGTCCTTAGGGAAATATGGTATGGGTGTGAGAAAGTGGCCCTGGGCATCTTCTGCCTTTTCCTGTGGCTATGGAGGCTGCAGACTCAGCAGGTGGCCCTGACCCCTGTGAACACAGCAGCCCACTCCTCTCATCTTGTGGTCTCTAGCCCTTCTAGCAACCCATGCCCCGTTTGGCAGCCTTCACTGAGTTACCCCTGGTGTGATGAGGCTCGACTATGTCTGCATTTGGTCAGGGTCTGGGAGGGTTGGGGGAGTGTCATGAGCCTGTTGCATAGTCCATCCCCCTCCATCTCTGGCCTGAGCGGGCCTGTCTTGGGGAATTGGAGGAGGTTGATAAGGAGAGGTGGGTGGTGGCCATACCAAGCAAGGTGCCTGGGAAGGGATGGAATCTGTAGACTTTGGGTAGAGGATGAATCAAGCCGTCATGCAGTTAGCTTAACTTTCACATCCTCAGTGGGTGGAGGTAGCCGACTACTCCCTGGAGATGGCCCTTCCTAGGTCAAGATGTAGAGAGGAGGCTCGGCGCCTATAGCTCAACCAGCTAAGGCGCCAGCCACGTACACCTAAGGTGGCGGGTTCGAATCCCCAGCCCGGACCCGCCAAACAACAATGACGGCTGCAACCAAAAAAATAGCCGGGCGCTGTGGCGGGCGCCTGTGGTCCCAGCTACTTGGGAGGCGGAGGCAGGAGACTCGCTTGAGCCCAGGAGTTGGAGGTTGCTGTGAGCTGTAATGCCATGGCACTCTACCCAGGGGGACAGCTTGAGGCTCTGTCTCAAAAAAAAAAAAAAGATGTAGAGAGGACATGAGACTAGAGCAGGTGGTCTGGCTCAGGACCTAGTCCTGACCCTCAAGGAGTTAGGAGGGCGTCCAGGGTGAAAAAGGACACTCTGGAGATGGCTAGCCCTGGGGGCAGAGGAGAGATGGGATGGATGGAGATGTGTCCTGCTCCAGCACCCTGGCAGGAGCGTTCATGGAGCTGACCAAACACCTGTGACTCTCATTTCCTAGGTGGCCCGAGGCAGCCAGGATGACAGCTCTCCCCAGGAACCCTGCTGCCTGCTGAGAAACATGACCAGCAAGTCCCGTGAGTGTTGTGTGAGCACCCTACCCCAAAGGACATACCCCTGGAGAGGAGCAGTCTTCAGCAGCATCCCAGGACCCCTGGGGGCTATGGAGGGGGAGCCATGGGCCCCTCTCTTCACCTTGAAGGACAGCGGATACACTCAGGTCCAAACCCTGAGCTGGGCCAGGAGTGGGCCAGGGAATGGTCTGCTGGAGAGTAGGGCAGGGGTGAGGGTGGGCAGGGCTATCCCAGCCTGTGTCTGCCTCCAGCTCCTCTGTGCATGTGCCCTGCAGGCTGGAAGCTCCTGGCCATGCTGGCTCTGGCCCTGGTCGTCATGGTGTTGTATTCCATCTCCCGAGAAGACAGCTACATTGAGCTGTGAGTCCACTTTCCATGTCTTTCCATTGGTTCTTCTCAGGGACAGGTGTAGGTGCAGGAGCTTGTGGGACAGCCAGGTTCCAGGAGCCGGGGCAGAACCTGTCCTGTTCAGCTGCTACTGCAGGTCCTTTCATGGGGAGGGAACCTGGGCCCTCACTGGGCGTGCAGGGGCAGGAGGAGCTGGATCCCAGTGATCTGGGTTCAAAGTGAAAGTTGGGCTGAGATGATTTCACACTGCAAGTGCCTCTCTGGCACCAGGGACCTCTGTGCGTGGAGAAGATTGAGGGTGCTGGAACATGGCCTCTGGGTTCCTGGTCTGACTGAGGCTCCTGACTCCTCTCCTCTTCTGTCTCCAGTTTTTATTTTCCCATCCCAGAGAAGAGGGAGCCATGCCTACAGGGCGAGGCAGAGAGAAGGTCCTCTAAGCTCTTCGGCAAGTGAGTCCAAAGGATGGGGGATGGGGCAGGACATGCAGAAGGGGTTCACAGGGTGGGGTAGACCTGGGTCAGGGGAAGCCAGGGAGGAAAGGGGAACCAGGCAGTGTTGGTCAGGGCCTGGCCCTGCTTCTGCATCAGTATTAATTCTTTTCTCATTCCCACCTTGTCTCACCTCCTGCAGCTACTCCCGAGATCAGCCCATCTTCCTGCAGCTTAAGGATTATTTCTGGGTCAAGACGCCATCTGCCTACGAGCTGCCTTATGGGACCAAAGGGAGTGGTATGTTCCCACTGGGCCCCTTGCTACTTTGCTTCCTATTCTTTGCCATCCACGGCTCCAGTGCCCAAGTTCTGAGCCAGAGGAGGAAGACAGCAGCCGGGCTCTGAGGACACGGGAGGGAGGGCAGGCAGCCTTCAGAACACCAGCTACTGTGTCAGCCCTCCATCGGTTCTTTTTGCAGAAGACCTGCTTCTCCGAGTGCTGGCCATCACCAGCTACGCTGTACCCGAGAGCATCCAGAGGTAAGGAGATGCTCCTCCCCTGGCAGTGTGAAGCAGTCATGCCCTAGCACCACCCCAACCAGCTCACGGCAGCCCAGCCTGGGCATCAGTGCAAGCAGGCAAGGGTATCACGACAGACAAAATTGGGCAGTAGCAAGGGCCCTTCAGGGGTGTGCCCATGTACCTTCCCTCCTCTCCACCCCTCTCCCCTGCTCTGCTCAGTGTCCTTTCTCTTCTAAGACTCAAGGCTGTAAAACTAGCATGACCATGGTGGGGACCTGGCCAGGGCCTAGCAAGTGATCCCAAGATGGGCTCTGGGAGGTCCAGTCAGTGAGGGTAAAGTGGGCAGGGGCTCGACTGTCTGATTGCTCCTCTGTGGCAGCCTCAAGTGCCGCCGCTGTGTGGTGGTGGGAAACGGGCACCGACTACGGAACAGCTCGCTGGGAGAGGCCATTGACAAGTACGACGTAGTTATCAGGTGCGTGCTCATGTCCTGCTTCTGCTGGGGGCTGGGGACCCTGAATCTGGCTATGACCAAGCCCGGGGGCTGTGCTGATGGGTATTCTTCCTGCAGACTAAACAACGCTCCGGTGGCTGGCTACGAGGGTGATGTGGGCTCCAAGACCACCATGCGTCTCTTCTACCCTGAATCTGCCCACTTTAACCCCAAAGTGGAAAACAACCCAGACACACTTCTTGTGCTGGTAGCTTTCAAGGCGATGGACTTCCACTGGATTGAGACCATCCTGAGTGATAAGAAACGGGTACGTGTGAGGACAGGTGGGGCCTGAGACCCAGGGATGGGCCCTCATGATACACGATGTCTGTCTTGCAGCCCTAAAGAGCCGGTGAGGGGACAGTGTTAAATGGGCTCCCAGCAGTCAGTGTCTTAGGCCTGCCACCGAGGGCAGTGCCCTGCATGGCTTTTGGTAGCCACCCCAGCAACTGGCATAAAAGCCCATGAGTCAGGTAGTACCAGCCAAAAGCACCCAACTGAGGGCCATGTGGGACAGGAAAGCTGCTGGAGTATGTGTCTGCTGTGAGAAACTTGGGAGTAGTCATCTCCAGGCCAGGGGCAAGTTAGAACAGTGAGGTCTGGCTCGGCACCTGTGGCTCAAGTGGCTAAAGCGCTAGCCACATACACCTAAGGTGGTGGGTTCGAATCCAGCCTGGGCCCACCAAAACAACAGTGACGGCTGCAACCAAAAATAGCCGAGTGTTGTGGAGGGCGCCTGTGCTCCCAGCTACTTGGGAGGCTGAGGCAGGAGACTTGCTTGAGCCCAGGAGTTGGAGGTTGCTGTGAGCTGTGATGCCACAGCACTCTATCCAGGGGGAGAGCTTGAGGCTCTGTCTCAAAAAAAAAAAAAAAAAAGAACAGTGAGGTCCAATCCACAGAACCCAGAAAGAGTATATGACGTCCAGTCGAATGCTGGACAGGTGGACATCTGATCTGGCATCTCTGTTGTGTTTAGGCAGCCTGAGACTCAAGCCCCTTCCACCTGTTTGGATATCCTTGGAAGAGGGCCCTGGTTGACCCTGTGCCTGGCTATCTTGTTACTGGGCCTCCTGGAGGGGGTGTCCCTCCCACTCCTTCCCAGACCTTTCCTCTGGTCTCCCTGCTCTGGTACACACCCCATCTTCTGCCTTCTCTTCTGTATTCCTGAAGGAGAATACAGTAGCCCACCTGCTGGCTGGAGAACACTGAGTTGGACTTGAGAAACAGGTCTTCACTCCCTCCCGTCTCTCTCTCTGACTCCATCCTTCCAGGTGCGAAAAGGTTTTTGGAAGCAGCCTCCCCTCATCTGGGAAGTCAATCCTAAACAGATTCGGATTCTCAATCCTTTCTTCATGGAGATTGCGGCTGACAAACTGCTGAGCTTGCCCATGCAGCAGCCACGCAAGATTAAGCAGGTGACAGTGGCTGGTGGGATGACCTGGGCAGGAAGTAGGAGGGACCAAGGACCCCAGGAGATGGGAGAATAACAACAGAGGCAACAGTTTGCATCTGACCTCCAGGAAAATACCTGAAAGCAAAGACAGGTTATTACCTTGCTATGGTCAGGTTCAGGCACGCTGGGGACAGCTTCAGAGTGGGGAGAGGTGAAAGGTTGGCATCAGGTTTGGGGGCTGGAGTTAGAGGATGGTTTTGGAGGGCACTGGTCAGAGTTTGTAAACTGGGGCAACTTGAGCCCCTGCAGGGTCACTGTAAAGTACTGATTCTGCGACCTTATGTTGGAGCATGCTGGTCTGAATGAGGAGTTGTCTTGCGGGTCATAGTTGGGTAGGGTGTGTCGGTTCTGGGGGTCAGAATGCAGCCTTGCATGTTATGGCTGCAGTGTCAGTGCCCTGTGGTGGCACTTTAACCCCTTTGTAGCTTCCCAAGTACTTGCACATCTGACTCAGAGGTGAGCCAGCAGATGTAGGCAGGGCCTCAGCTGTGCCACCTACCTTTCCACTGGACCGCCACTTGGTGCCTCAGTCATCTTGCCTGTGTAGTGGGGACAATGTCCATACTGACCTTTTAAAGCCATTGTAGGATTAAAAAAAATCATTATGTAAAATGTTCATTATGGAGGTCAGCACACAGTACCTGCTCAGGTCTTGAGCGAATGATGTTATGCTTTGCTGAGTATGTGCATGTGAACTGGGTGAGTGTCTGCTTTTGTGACAGCTCAGTGCCAAGCCCACATCTGTGTGCTTGGTGAGCAGGACACGCCCCTCGTCCTAAGGGGACTCAGTCTAGCAGAGTGAACACGAAGGCTGCACTGTGGAGTTCCATAGTGCCGCAGTGGGGCATTGTGCTGGGATTCAGAGGAAGGACAGGCCTCTGCTGAGGACTGTCTGGGAGGCCCCCAGGCCTGCAAGGATCCCACACTTATTGGGCAGAGAAAGGCCTCTGGTTGGCAGGGGCCAGCAGCGCCACTGAGCTGGTGGAATTGAGGGCCATGAACAGGAGTTTTATGCCAGAGACAGAGTGTGGACAAAGAGGAGTAGGGAAGGAGAGAAAAGAGGGTGAGGACCTGAACCTAGTTCAGGGTGGCAGGGAGGGGAAGGAGGGAGGGATATGACATCATACTCATGTCCTGCTGCTGCTCCCTCCTTAGGCAGCCAGGAGGCCTACAGTGGGGCCCACAAGTGAGCTCAAAGTCTTGGGGGCCAAAGCCCAGGGCAATGAGGTTAGATTCTCTGTGCTCATAGGCTGGACTCAGTTCCTCAACTAGATTGAGGTTTTTTTTTTGTTGTTTGTTTGTTTTTGAGACAGAGCCTCAAGCTATCTCCCTGGGTAGAGTGCCATGGCATCACAGCTCACAGCAACCTTCAACTCTTGGGCTCAAGTGAGTCTTCTGCCTCCACCTCCCAAGTAGGAACTACAGGCGCCCGCCACAGTGCCCGGCTGTTTTTTGGTAGCAGCCATCATTGTTGTTTGGCAGCCCGGGCTGGATTTGAACTTGCCAGCTCAGCTGTATGTGGCTGGCACCTTAGCCACTTGAGCTACAGGCACTAAGCTTTTTTTTTTTAATTTTGGATTAATATAGGGTACACATGATTAGGTTACACTGCTTATATTTGTTAGGAGAAGCCCAAGTTGTATTTGAGCCCTTTACCCAGGAGGTGTGCCATATACCCTGCTTTGCCCCTGTTAATTAGAGGCTCACTAAGCCCCTTCCCCTCCCCGCCTCCCCAACTGAGTTCTTCCCTGGAGGCTTGGGGGGAACCTTGCTTCCTTAACTCCAAGCATGGTTTTCTCATGCTTGTAGGGCTGAGGGCCCCATTCCCTTGCTGGCTTTCTGCTGGGAGTGACCACACTCACTTCCTGGGGCTGCCCACAGACCTTGCCACATGGCTCCTCCTTCTTCAAGCCACGGATGGCATGACACATCCTTCTTGTGTTTCCAGCCTCTGACTTCCTCTGTTTCTGATCTTGACACCCAATGACACCCAGATTTAAAGGTTCTGGAGATGCGGTGAAGCCCAGCAGGACAGTCTCCTCTCCTATGGTCACCCGTGCCATATAAAGTGACTCAAGGAAATATCATCTTCACAGGCTCTATCTAAAGTGACACAAGGAAATACATTCACAGACCCCCCACACATGTGAGGGAGACCTGCAAATGTCACTGGGTCCACTTACAGTTCTGAGTGCTACCACCCAGGTCACAGGTGAAACTGAGGGATTTCTGACCAAGTCTGAAATTCCAGTGCAGATAGTGGGGTGGTGATGGCTAATATACTGGATTAATAGAATACAGGAGGAGGAGCTGGATGAGTATGAGGAACCCGTCTAAGCAGAGCAGGCGAGAGGCCACAGAAATGTGGGTTAGCAACAGCCAACACAGGGGTGGTGACAGCAATAGGGTGAAGACAGAGGCTGGGCAGGGAGTAGAAGGTGAGTGGGTAGGGGCTAAGGTGACACTGGGAGAGGTGAGGCTGGGCAGGGAGTGGAGGGTCAGAGGGTAGGAGGTTGGGGGGACACTGGGAGAAGTGAGGCTGAGCATGGAGTGGAGGGTGAGAGGGTAGGGGGCTGGGGGGACACTGGAAGAAGAGGTGAGGTTCGGCAGGGAGTGGAGGGTGAGAGGGTAGGGGGCTAGGGGGACACTGGGAGAGAACAGAGGCAGAGGCCTGAGAAGGCCCAGAACTGATCCTAAATGGGCATGGGTTGCTGGAGCTGAGGTAGGCTGCCTGCCCCTGAGGATGGTTGAGGGATGGAGGAAGTAAGGGCCTCAGGGAAGCTCATCTGGTGGTAGGAAAGGATAGCTGTCCTGGTTCAAGAAGGGAAGGGCCCACCCCCAAAAGGGTCACACAGCTGGTGAATGTCACAGCCCCCAGATCTTCAGAGGGAGGTGTGGCTCTCCAAGGAGGAAGACAGAACCTTTTTCCTCCTTTGAGCAACTTGCTTAATATTTCTAAGGCTTGGTTTTCTCATCTGTAAGATGGGGCTGATGACAGTACCTCCCACCAAGTGTTTTGTGAGGACTGGATGAGATGATGCATTGTACTATGTAGGATGCTTAGCATAGTACCTGGCACCTGAGTGCTCAAAAAGTAATAGGTTTGACGGGTTGTCATCATTGTCATTCTGATGGTCTTCCTCATCCCTAGAGGCTCAAAACCTCCCCTGGATGTGTGATGCTTCCTGTCCTGTATAGTAGCCACAAGCCATATATGGTATTTATTGTACAATTTAAAATAGGCAACTATTATTTACATAGATAACTATATTAAATTGCACACGAACTTTGTGGCCACCCTGTATTTATTTTTTTTAATTTATTAACTCACATTAATTACTACGTTTCTTAGAGACAGGCTCTCTCCATGTGGCCCAGGTTGGAGTATAGTGGCCATTCCTAGGTGTGGGCACACAGTTCACTGCAGCCTCGCACCTTAGGGCTCATGTTTTCTCCCATGTCAGACTCCTGGTGTGCATCACCTTGCCTGCCACATGTGACTATTTAAAGTTTAATTAATTAAAATTCAACTAAATAAAACATTCAGCTCTTCAGTTGCACCAACCCTATCCACATTATCTGGCTCATGGCAGTCACACTGAACGGTGTGGGTGGAGGACGTTTCCATGATGGCAGAGTTCCAGTAATGAGTGCCTGCGGGCCTGGGAGAGGTGGGAGAAGCAGGGCTCTCTCTGATACACCCCACTCCTTGTCCCTCAGAAGCCTACCACAGGCCTGCTGGCCATCACGATGGCCCTCCACCTGTGTGACTTGGTACACATTGCTGGCTTTGGCTATCCAGATGCTTACAACAAGAAGCAGACCATTCACTACTACGAGCAGATCACGCTCAAGTCCATGGCGGTAAGCAGCCCTGCTGCGAGAGCTGGGTAGGATGGATGGGCCTGGGGATTGGACAGGCAGAGGGACAGTGGGTGAGGGAGTGTGGTGCTGAGGCCGGGAGGTGGCCCTGGAGGTGGTCATTCAGGAGTCCGAGCTGGAGCTGAGGCACCCTCTGTGTGTAGCCGCACAGGAGCCAGCTCAGGGAGGAGCCCCTCGAAGTGTGGGGTGTGGCAGGGGAGACTTCTCTGGGGACAGCAAGATCCCTCAAGGTCCCTCAGTCACTTCCTTGGCTGTTCCCACAGGGGTCAGGCCACAACGTCTCCCAGGAGGCCCTGGCTATTAAGCGGATGCTGGAGATGGGAGCCGTCAAGAACCTCACGTCCTTCTGACTTGGGCAAGAGCTGCAGTCCATTGGTTGTCCATGCTGCTGCCTGGGTGACCCCCACCCACGGCGTGGGGGTGCCCGATGCCAGCACGACCCACTTGGACTTAACCTCCTCTGTTTGGGGAGGGAGTCCCGGGACTGGCCAAGTTGGAGATGAAGCTGAGTTCTGGCGGCTCCTGTTGAGCCAGGTCTGGTCAGGTGGAGGCCCTGGGCTGCGGGAGCTGGCCAAGGCAGGGGCTTGCTGCTGCAGCGTCTCCTCTCTGCCAGCACTGAGAGATTATTTAACGGGCTATTTAACTATGGGCAGGAAGGTGCTGTGGGCTGGTCCCATGGCATCTAGCAAAGAGACCAGTATAGGGTTCTGCCCACTTTTTATAAAAACTTAGATGTGATGGACCCACCAAGGCCTACACACAGAGCTGGCCTCCCAGGAGGGCGGGGGCATCGAGAATCGGTGGGTGCCCTCCAAAGAGGGGCTGCTACCTCCCAGCAGGCATGGGAAGAGCACTGGTATGGGGGTTCCACCAAGAAGGGGACCTTGTTGAGAACAGAGGTTAAAAACCCACCATTAAACTATTTTTCCTAAAATGGAAGCAAGCAGGTGTGATGCCCTGCCTCCTTTCAGGTTGGGGAGGGAACAGGTGAGAGTGTGACAGCTCAGCCATTCAGGGAATAATCACTTCGAGTACAGGGCTTGGTGCCCAGTGGTGCTCACTGGCACTGCAGGTGAGCTGGTGATGCCTGCAGCAGGTCTGTGCACACACACCCAGTCTGCTCCTGCATCCCGGTTTACTTCCCAGAGGGAGAGAGGGACCAAGGATGTCAGGTGGAGCAGTGGGTCCTCTCCCATCTTCTTTCCTCTCTCTGTCACCATTCTTCTGTTACTGACATCTCATGCTGGAGGTGTGTGTTTTAAGGACAAGGGTGGAGTCAGACAGAGAAAGCCAAGTTTCCTTTCTTAGATTAAGGGGAACCAGAAATGGACTTTATGGAAGGTCCTGCGGGCAACCTGGACTGCCAAGATGGAGGTGGGGAGGGCTGGAGGGCAACACTGGGGGGTCTGGCTGGGTCTGTCAGTCAGTCACATGGCCAGGGGATGAAGCAGTTTCTTTCCCGGGTCTCTAGAATCCTAACAGCTCTGCCATTTGCCTGTCTCTCCCAGCTTTGTCCTCCATCTTCCCAGGCCCCTGCTTAGCTGCCAGTTGGGCTTCCTGCCACCCCACAGCTGTCCCTTTACATCTGGAGCCAGCAGAGAGAGTTGGAACGCCCTCATGGGGAATGGAACTTGCAGCTGTGTTCCTGGCTTTCTTGGAAAGAGTTGCAGCCTTGAGGTTTTGAGACAAGCCAGGCTGGGACAGGACAGATAAAGAGGGCAGCAATTTGGGAGGAACAGAAGATGACACAGTTCCTGGCAGGGTGTTGGAACAGCCTTAAGAACACCCAACCTCTTCCTACAGGATGGTCCTGAGGACCACCCTGGGAAAACAGAATGGCTTGCTTCCTCAGTGGCTGGGGGCTTTGCTCACTGCCCTCCCCTCTGGGGGGGGGGGTTGCTGAGAGCAAATAGGGCCCTAGCATTGCAGCTCCAAGCCCCCTCTCCTCCACAAGAGCAAGGTGTCTGCATGCTTTATTCTGGGTGGGTTCCTGTTGACCTCAGCAGGGGTGTGTGAGGTGGGGAAGGGGTCTCAGCTCTGCTTACCCCTGATGGTTCCAGTTACTCCTAGTGAGGGAATGCAAGGGAGTGTCCATTTCCCCGTCCAGGGCCATTGAGGGTAGCTGTCTACACACACAATCCAGCTGTCCTGGATGGGAGCCATTGCTTGTTACTGAACGTGCTCAAACTTGAGCCAGAATCCAACACTAAGGGATGGGCCAGACTGCCCCCCCAACTCCACACATGCACACAAGTAGACACAGGAGCTTTTTACATTTTTGTTGGGTGGTTTCTGATACCATATGCAGACAGCCATTCGAGATCACGCACAGAGAGGACTGTGCACGTGTGGGTGGGTGTGCATACGCCCAGGGAGACCTCTGTGCGGGTGCTTCCAGTGTGCCCTACATCCTACCCAGACTGAGGAATACAGGCCAAGGTCAGAGCTGGGACTGAAGCTTTGATGTGGAGTTGCTGGATGGGGTTCCTTGGTGTTCTGGGAAGGAGACTTTTGGCCTCCAATTAGCACTGCCAGTGTGAATGAACTGTCTGCCAGCCGGCCTGGGACTGATTAAGCAAGCACTGAATGAAGAGAAAGGCGCTTCGCTGCAAGTCAGGAAATCTTGGGTTCTTCTCCAGGCTCTGCCACTTAATTCTGTATGATCTAGGACCATTTATGCACTGCTGTGCCCCAATTCCTACCTTCCTTGAAGCAAAAGAGGGGTGGGTCCTCACCAAGACCACTTATCTCAGAATTATAAGGAGAGGTTTAAGAAGGCCGCTAGGGATGGGATGTCAACAAGTACTCAGAACCCCTAGTCCAGATTCTGGGATCATCTCACCAGCCCCTTTCCACTCCGCGGTCTGCGCGCCACACCCAAAGTAATCCCGGTGCCCTTGAGCAGAGTTAATCTGGCGCACGCGCAGTTTTCACCGCCGGGGGCGGGGAGGAGTTACTGAGCTCAGATCGCCTCGCCCGGACGACGGGGGCGGGGCCGCGCATGCGCTATCTGCGCGCCCGCCGGCCTGACCCTCCAGACTGTGGGAACGGGCGGTGAATCTCGCGGTCTCTATGGAGCTTTGGCCAGCTTTCCCCGCCTCCTCCCGGAGACCTCCGGGACGCTGACCCTGGCAACCGCCTCGTATCCGGCTCCTCCCTGGCAACCAGCCCAAATTGTGGCTACGGCTGCGGAGGGAAGCCGGGCGGGGCGGCGCGGGGAGGGGGGCCTGCTCCTCGGAACACACGCTTACCCGCCTCGCCTTTCCCCGGGAGGGGGCGGGCCGGGCGCCAGCTAGGCGGTCAAGGTCAGACCCGTCCAGCCCTGTCCCACCGAGGGGGAAACTGAGGCCGGGAGCAGAGACGGGACTCCCAGCTCGACCACCTGCCTGGGCAGGACGAGAGCTTAGGGCTTCATCTGGTGCAGGAACAGATTCAAGTGATACTCTGTATTCACGTCACATGCTGTGCCGTAATTTTGAGCACTTCACGTCTTTATTTACACTTTTCCAGGGGTTATAAGTACACGCAATTGCTTTATCCCAGAGACTGTCTACCCTACAAAAAGTTTGAGCTTGTAAGCAGTTCTGCCTGGGAGGCGGAAAGGTGTATTGTGCGGGGCTGGATGGTGAGTGGTGCTCCGTCCCCCAGTAAACCTCTGCTGCTCCTTCTGGCTGGTGGTGATTACACATGCCTGGCTCCCAGTGAGGACTTAAAGATCTAATGGGAATACCGTTGTAGTAACATTTTATAGATTGTAAAGTGTGATATCAGTATTAGATTGGAAAGCTCCCTTTGATGGAAAATCCAGGAGAGGGTATGAAACAGGTCCGGTCCATTTGTAGGGACAAATACTTGCCCAGGTAGTGAGTAACATGGCAGATTACAGAAAAGGCTTTGTCTTCAAATCACCCACAAGCTAAGTAGGGGAAGGTAAGACTGACATCACTGGAATGACTCAAACAAGGCAGCTTTGGGTGACCAGCGAACAAACTGCTCTCTGGTAGTGGTTTTCAAGCTGAAGTCAAGACACCTTTAGGGGTTTTGAAGAGAAGTTTCTTGGGACACGTTACCCATTTCAATGAAATGTAGCATACCACAGTGGGTTCCTAAACAAAGAATGAGAAGTACAACCTCAAAGTTAGCTCTCCCCTTTTTGATGTTTTAAATACAGTTTCAGAAAACTAATTGTTAGTTTTAACATTCCTGTTCTGTACCAGACATGCTTCCAAGAAATCAGGTTGTCTTTCCAACTTAAAAAGTTTAAGGAGGGGTATGGGGTGTGTGTGTGTGTGTGTGTGTGTGAGAGAGAGAGAGAGAGAGGAGAGAGAGATTAATCTAGTTCTTTCTCAGTGAGTTTACCTCTCTTGTTAGAGATCTTTAGGGTCCTGCACCCAAGACAAAAGAAGGTGGGATCAACCTTGAGTCTTACTAGATGACAGTTTGGAAAAAGCCCAAATGTACAGAGCTGCTTCGCTTAAAGGGACAAGACAAAGTGGGAAGCAGAGGACAGACCACAGTGCTAAGAGAGTTAGTGCAAAAGTGTTTGACACAAGGTTTTAGGGAAAAATCATCTTTGGGTGAGGCCGGTGCTATGTCTCAGGTTCCCAGGGAAGGCTGACTGTTTGAACACCCACCTGGGAACAGAAGTGTAGCTGCCTCTCAAGAGCCTGGGGAGGCTGAGGGTGGAGCTGGGTGGGGAGAAACAGCCAAGGCCCAGACATGGAAACCACCCTAGGGGGTGGAAGTCGGAATTACTGAACTGAGCTCTATCATTCTGAGGCTTGCCAAAGAGATATTTATATACGTCACTGAGTTTAACACTTTAAGAGTGCCTTCACTTGCTTGAAAATGGGTTTCTTGTGGTACTAAGCTGCTTTGCTTGAGAAAAAAAATCTCAAGAGGGGTGGTGCCTGTGGCTCAAAGAGTAGGGTGCGGCCCCATATGCTGAGGGTGGTGGGTTCAAACCCAGCCCCTGCCAAAAAAAAAAAAAAAAAAAAACCTGCAAAAAAAAAAATCTCAAGAATATGAGTTTGAGTCTGGCAAGGAATTTCACTCTAGTTCTGTGCTCATTTTTTCTCTGTGGATTTATGCTGCATTAACGTAGCCCTTGCATGACAGGAGAGCTAGGGAAACTTTTAATTAAAAGTCAAATAGGAAGAAAACCTTATCTGAAAATTCTGCCTTAGAAGTCCTGCATCTGAATCCGAATCCTTACCTGTACCACTTTACTGCCGCCTGCTGCCTTCTTTCAGTATTTGCCTCAAGTTTAGTGCCCCTGAGTATCACAAATACACTTTCTAGGCTGTAGGCAGCAGAGCCCTGGCCCCCTCATTTCTTTGCAGAGATAGTGAGGGAGGTGGTATCTTTAACTTCGTCCACTGAACTTGTTTTTGTCTAATGGGAAATGACCTTTCTTTATTCAACACCTATCCTGAGTAGTGCTTTTTCTCTTGCATAATTAGGAATAAATTTCAGAGAAGTTTCATTTAATTAAGACCCCAGTTCTCCCCCAGATTTGGACTTCCTGAGACTTCCCCTCCCTTGTTTTTGAAAATTAATTCTCTAGATGCACTTATACAGAAGACAATTATAAAGAAGCATTCTTTGCATGTTCTCATAGCATTCCAAGATACTGCCAAGGGCCATAAGGTGAAGGAGCAGAGGAAGGAAATGCCTATGCTCGTCTGACATTCCCAGTCAGGGAGCTCAAGGAAGCTTGTTGCTGCCCTTTGGGTGGGCTGAGTGGAATGTCCCACAGAAGAGCACTGGGAACACGGTTTGGCAGGCAGATACTGGCTGAGGCATAAATATAACCAGGGACAGTGATCAAAACTCAACAGCCCACCTTGTGAATGGTTTGTATTCACAGAAAACCTTTTAAAGATGAGGGCTGTGTAGGAATGCAAACCTTCAGTGTATGTCAAAACCCTTGCTTATTAGAAAGGGTAGCAGTTAGGGAGAGAAAGAACTCATGGTCCCAGAGCAAACCTGGACTTATCCAGTAAAACAATTCCCAATTCCTTATAAAAAAAGAAGAATAGCTTGGATTTTTTAAATTCCCTCAGTTTGTGACCTGGTTGGAGGGTTGGGGAAAAGTAGAAGCCTACTGGAAATGAGAAGCAACTGTCTGCAAGAGAGCTCTGGATCAGGGACGCCCAGGGATTTGCTGCTGGTTTCAATGTGAAAGCTGCAATTACCTGGTATGTGGTTACAGCTCCTACAAACAACTGAGATCTGAGGCTTTTCAAAGACCTTTTTAGAAGTAAAACCCAAGATTTAGTCGAGATGTCATTGGTCTATATCTAAAGGTTTGTTTCTTTACATAGGCATACCAACTGGTATTTTAAATAAACATCTGTATGTGAATTAAGATAGTTTTGATTTAAACATTTATATATATATATTTTTGGCCAGAGCTGGGTTTGAACCTGCCACGTCCATCATATGGGGCCGGCGCCTTACTCCTTTGAGCCATAGGCACCCTAAACATTTATATATATATAATATATATATATATATTTTTTTTTTGAGACAGAGCCTCAAGCTATCCCCCTGGGTAGAGTGCCATGGCATCACAGCTCACAGCAACCTCCAACTCCTGGGCTCAAGTGAGTCTCCTGCCTCAGCCTCCCAAGTAGCTGGGACCACAGGCGCCCGCCACAACGCCCGGCTATTTTTTGGTTGCAGCCGTCATTGTTGTTTGGCAGGTCCGGGCTGGGGATTCGAACCCGCCACCTTAGGTGTACGTGGCTGGCGCCTTAGCCGGTTGAGCTATAGGCGCCGAGCCATTTATATATTTTTTAAAATAAAGAGTGTCTTCTACAGGGAAAGTTCCTAGAGAAGATAGCAGGACTCCCCTTCTGGGGCCATTGCAGATCATACAGGATACCTGGGAGAGAGCTCATCACACATGAGGGCTCCAAATGGATATGGAAATATTGTGGAAATATTGTAGCAAATACCATAAGTGGCAGTTTCCTCCCTAGCCAGGAAAAGAGAAATGGAATTCCTGTTGGCTCCTTTTCTGTTGTTCTGAGAAATCTCCCAAGGACTGCATCATATTTGTTTTCCTTTCCCTGAGTCCTTTTTGTTCTGGAAACTTAAAGGCAGCTTCGTGGCCTGTTGCTTAAAAGGATTTGTTTAAATAGACTTCAGCAGGAACTGATTCGATGGGGCATTTTAGCTCTTCATATGAGAGGACTTCCTGTTCCAGGAAAGTTGAAGAATGGTGGAAATTGCCCTGGCCTTGCAGGCTGGCAGAGAGCCTGAGAATTAGAGACTGGCTCCACCCAATGACCCTGAGCCAATAGTGAAGTTTAACGCTATCAGCAAACTGGGTTTTGGCCTTGGTGGGGGTGGGGACGATTTGATACACAGAATATCTTTGTTTCCCAGGTCACTTGGGGACTTCAAGTGGAGGACGCTAGTCCTGCCTTTCAAGTGGAGCTGAGGCTTGTCCTTGGCCAGCTGGCCTGAGTGGGCACAGCCGATGACCTTTACCAGCAGCTGCTTCCACCCACAGTCTAGGATGAGGGTGGCCTTGAGTCTGCCCTGGAGGGCGGAAGCATCTTGTAGTGGAAATCATGTGCTTGAAATCTCATGTTTGCCACTTGTTAGGTCTTGACCTTGGGCAAGTCTTGAGGCTCCTTTAAGCCTAATTACCACATCTGTAAAATGGTGATACTTTGTAGAATTATGAAGATTAAATAAGATTACGAATGTAGAGCACTTACTTTATTTAATGTGAAATCACCTACGGGGAAATTCAGGACTTCCCACTGCCTTTTTTTTTTTTTAAAACACTTTCGTTTACCAGCTTTTCTGCATCCTCCTTCCTTTGTGAGGAGGTACTAGGGCTGGGGACAGCTGAAGGATGCATGTAGTTCAGTCTGGGCTCCTCAATGCTCCAGAGCCCCCAGTCTTCCCTAATTTTTTCCCTCCAGGCGCTTCTGTCTCACAAAGATTGCACTTGTGACTTTCTGTTCCTTTGGCTGTTCTTTACTGTATTTGTGCTTTGGAGAGTGCTCAGAGGCTTGGGCACTGTACAGCTAGCCTTTACGCTGCCCCCATGCTCTTGCTCAGCCTCCCAGATAATTGGTGTTCTTACCCAGGAGTGCCTAAGGCAAGGAGGAAGAGGGTTCTTCTGTTCTGTAAGAGAGCAGATTTCTTCCCTGGTTCTTTTATAACCTCTACCCTATTAGTTCTGTGGGTAGGGGGACTGGGACAGCCGCAAGGAGCAAGGCAGGCTGTGGTGAGAGGATGGGGAGGTAGGCTGTCTCCTCTCCAAGGTGGGGAGATCAGGAGAAGCTGGTGGACATTCCTCCCAAGTCCCCGTTCTTACTCTAGTACACCAAGGCATTTTGCACATGCTCTTGGATCCTTATTTTCTGCTGGCAAAGAGGAAACCTACATGGGAAGAGGCAAAGCTTGCCGAGATTGAAGGGCAGGGGCTAACATCTGGCATCTCTGCTGGGTCAGAATGGTCCTGAGAGCAGGTTGCAGGGTGGGGATGCAACCCATTACATTTCTGATCATTCTCCCTTGGGCTTTGGGGCTACAAAGGATGATACCCTGAGAACTGGGGCATTTTGAAGCACCAGAAAATAGGGTAGAAACAATAATTCCTCTGAATGGAGGAGCTATGAAAGCTGTGTATAGAATCTGTGGATTTGGCCCATCCAAGGGATCAGTGTCTTCCTGGAAAGGAACACAAACTGGTGTGATAAAGGTTCGGTGATGGGTGTGGCCTAGGAGGAAAAATTGGAGAAGAAAAGTCTAAAATTGATGAGGAAACTTCAAGGTTGAAGGACAGTTTGGCTCTTCCCTTTGAGTCCCTGAACAGCATTCCAACTTGCCTGTTTATCAGCCCCATCTGCCACGGCTGCCTCAAGCTTCCCACCTGAGCAAAGCCATTCTTAGAACTTCGTGTGAGTTTCACATTGAGTGTCAGGTGCTCAGTGGTCAGTCTGTCACTCCTTGACAAAAGAATAGAACAGTACTTGTGGGAGTATCAGACCTCCTTGTCCGAGCCTCTAGTGGAGGGAACTTTCTCTGCAGAATATAACTGAGAGGAAAGAGCTAGAATGACTGGCCAGTATCCAATATGGTCATTTTGCCTCTGAGCTGTCCTTGGCATGAGTCAGGTGGTTGGGGAGTCCTGTTTCTGCCCTATGGGTTGGGCCCACACACAAAGGAGAGGGTTCTGCCTGGAGGTTTATTGCCACCACAACCAAAGCTATCAACGGCCTTCATTTCTGGGAAAACTGAATTAAAGAAGGACAAAGAACATGGGGTCCCAAAGCCTACAACTGAGCTCGTGGGTTCCTCCAGTAGAAACAAAAGAACAGAACGACTTGTGGGAGTAATGCCCCTATCGTTTATTCTCAGGTGGTGAGTAGGAGGGGTGAGGTGTAGATACCTCTCCTGTCTGCCTGGAGTCATCCTGAAGGCAGGATTCTCTGTCCTTGTGTCGGTCTGGCCATCTTATAGACCTGACCTCCAGGGCCCTCAAAGCAAATACCTCCCAGGAAACACTCTCTTCATGACTTCAGAGAACGCTGACAGAGAGACTCTGGCACTTCTTACACTAACCCTGTGCGCTGAGGAGCGAAGGGGAGTACACAAAGCTGGAAGGCGGGTGAGGAGGCTGTGAGCCACACAAGTTGGGGGGCATGGGCAGGGTATCCCCAGGCACTCACACTCTCCCCCCTTCCCTCCTCCCCTCCCAATGCTCCAGGCCCCAGCTGGGTCAGTCCCACCTTGAGTTCAGAGTATCGAGTCTAAGGACAGAACTGCAAGAGTATAGACACAAACACCAAACGAATTGGGGGTGGGCTCCAGCTAGCCAGGTCAGAAAAATGCCCCTTTGGTCAGGGCCATTTCTGGCTTCTCAGCCCCAAGGTATGCCTGTGAGCAGCGGGGAGCCCAGGCTGTGGGGCAGCTCAGTGCTGGGAAGGACCACCTACCCCACCCAGGGCTGGGCAGGGGCACAGGGCCGTGCTTACTAACGGCAAGGTGTAGAGCCTGTGAACTGAGAGTGGCTGGCAGTTTCACGGAAGCAAAGTTATAGCTGCCACTTGTGCTGTGGGAGGAGCAGGTGAAGAGGGGCCTCCAAGAAGGGGCAGAGAAGAGGGCTCCCGGCACCAAGTCGCTCAATCAGCTGCATCCTGTGTTCACTCCCTGCCTGCCCACCTCTGGCACACTGCAGCTGCAGACCCAGATTTGTGCTTGATTAGAGCTTCGGAGGAAGGTGGTGGCAGAGGCCTGGGAGGCTGTCCTGGAGGTGGCGAGTTCTGGGATCCTCTGCAAAGTGCCCCTGGTCCCTGGAGCAGCAGAGCAGTGCTCTGCCCTCTTCCTGGCTGTCCCCACCTGAAGGTGTGACCCTCAGACGTGAGTCTGCATCCGCCGCTGCAGGGGCCGGCTGGGGTCGGAGTTCTGGGAGGAGGACTGCGAGTGGTGGGAGGAGGAGGCGGAGGCTTTGCTGGCCTTGTCGAACTGCACGTAGCCATCCTGCTTGCCGCTGCTGCTGACGCTGCTGTCACACTGCGTGTCCAGAAAGGAGCTGCTGTCGCTGAGGGAGCCTCTCTGGAACTCCCGCTCGCAGAGCTCGATGGACGAGCTGCCCATGCCCAGCACGAACCTCTGCCCGTAGTCGTAGAGGCGGCCCTGGCCGCTCAGGGTGCTGTAGATATTGGTGAAGGACATGCCTGTGGGCACGCGCTGCTTGCCCGCCGGACGCAGGTCCGGCTGACAGCTGGACAGCGAGATGGTGGGGGTGGAGTGGTGCTCTTTGAAGGTGTTGACGCTGTAGTAGCCATTGGTAGGATCCTGGAGGAGGGGCAGGAGAGACGGGAGCATCACTGGGACAGCCTCCCCTGTCCTGACTCACGTGGTGGGGTGGGGGGGGACACAACCCCGTGGGGACAGAGAGCGAGTGGGGTGGAGGGATACTGAGCAGGATGTGGCAGGGCAGCAGACCCAGGAGTCAAGGGCTGCCCTGAGGGCCAAGTCAGGGCAGTGCAAAATCATTCGCAAGTCAGACTTGGATGTCTTTTGTTTTTATCCTGAATAGGATGGGTAATTTTGACATCTGTATGTGAGGAGGCTGTGGGTGGCCTTTGTACTCCCAGCCCTGCAGTGCTGGGGTGGAGAGACCAGGGGCTTTGGCAGGGGAGTGTCCCATCTTACCGGTGGGTCAGCGCCTGCCCCCAGGCTGGCCTCCAGCCCTTCTCTTCTCTCACCTGCTCTCATGGATTTGTGGCTTGGCCCTAGGGAGTTGAAGACCAAGCCCCACGGCTGTGTCTTACAACCTGTGGCTCCTTACCTTCAAGTTCTGAAACTCTTTCTCCTCTTCCTTGAGGACCTCCAGCTGCTTCAGTACCGAGTCTTGTTGGAATTCACCCCGGTCCATCTACAACCCAAAATGGCTGCTCAGTGGACAGGAATTGGGCTAACCTTCCACTTCCCTAAAGGAAAAGATGGCCATCTGTGCCTCCCCTCCTCAACCCTCACTACCTGGGCAAGGGAGAGAGTCAGGGTCCGTTCCTGGGCCCCCATCCCAAGAGATAGGCAGGCATTGTGGGGGGCGAGGTCAGGTCTCTAAGGCCACACTTTCTTCACCTGGGGCATTACCTTGGGAGATCTCATATTCAATTCAATTCATTGAGCATTTATTATAAAATTTCAACTGGGCACTATGAAAAGGGCCAAGGATATACAGATTGAGATACAAAAGGACACAGCTGTCTTGCTCAGGGAGATGGACTTGTAGAGAGGCGATTACAGAACAGCAAGCCCTGGGCACAGCTGGGCTTCTGAGGGCAGGTCCTCAGCCGCTGCGAGGGCCTAATGAGGCCTTAAGAAGGAACAAGGAGCGACCACAGGTGAGATGCAGATGACTGTGCCACACCTGTTACTCCAAGCAGGAACTTAGGTACACTGGAAAGTTATCTTGCTTACAGGACACCAAACAGCCTGAGGGGCAGGATCACTTCCTGCTTCTCTCTGAGTCTTCCCCATACCTGGCCCAGCGCCTTGCATGCTGTGGTCACTGACCAAAATGCTTTTGGAATGGAATCTTGTGTAATTTTTTTTTTCTGGAGACACTCTCAAGCTGTGGCCCTGGGTAGGCCCTGGCCGTGGCATAACAGTTCACAGCAACCTCAAACTCTTGGGCTTCAGCGATTCTCTTGCCTCAGCCTCCCAAGTAGCTGGGACTACAGGCGCCTACCACAAAGTCCAGCTATTTTTTTGTTATTGTTGCAGTTGTCATTGTTGTTTAGCTGGCCTGGGCTGGGTTCAAATGCACCAGCCTCGGTGTATATGGCTGGCATCCTGCGCACTGAGCTACAAGAGCTGCCAAGGAATCTCATAATCCTGATTCACCTGTGTCTAGCACAGTGCCTGATACACACAGGGTTGCTCTAACTCTAAATGTTGTGTTTATGTTGAGTGAATGAATAAAATGGCTTAGCTCTAAATTACTGAAAATTAAAATAGTTATGGGGCATAGGAGGAAGAACAAAGTATACTCCACATCCCGTGGGTGGATGAATTACTCAGAGGGATCACAGAGCTGCTTAACCTGTGACACATGAGAGGCTGGCCCTGCATCCTGCCTGCCAGTGTGTGAGCCGGGCTGGGTGCCACCTGCTCACTGGGTGGGGTTCTTTCTTCCTCCTTGAAATTTGTTTTCCTCATCTCTTTTGGAGCCCCACGGAATCAGCCGAGGTGTTTCCATCCAGTTACCGCCTCACTAACAATACTGCTGTTTTCATTTTCCAGTATGTGCTCTGGCTCTATCTGGGTTGGAGACCTTCTTTCCCACCAAATTAAACTCTTAAACCTGCCTCTCCTTGGTGATGGGGCTGTCTCAGGGCTGAGGAGTGAAGATCTCCAGCCACAGAGCCCTCAACAGGCCCCTTCTGCTGAGTTAGTTAGCCTACTCTCACCTGCTGCTCAGGGAACTCAGGGTCCCATCCGGGATGAAGGGCAGACCTGATGAAGGTCCAGGCTGCAATTCCTCCCTTCTAAAATAAATGCTCCACTGTGGCAGGCACTATGCTAGGCCTAGGGGAATAGACGATGTAGACCGCAGGCACATGACCTTTGACCTTGAGGAGCTCTGGGATCATTGGGGAGACTGTCTGTCACTAGAGGAATAGTCACATGCAGAGAGTTTGGGAGAGGGGAAAGTGCACAGCCCTGCTGGCAGTAGACAAGCACAGGAAATCATGGAGTTGACATTTGAGTTGATTCATACAGAGTGGGAAATGTGACAGGCTGAATTGCAGGCAGCGGGAACAGCCTGTGCACAGGTCTATGAGGCACAGAGGACTGGAGGGCCAGGAATCACTAGCTCTCCTAGTGTCTGGAAGGCCATGTGCTTTTGGAGGGAGGATGGAGCCAGGAGGGTTGGCAGCTGCCTCCTATGTGGGGCCTGGAGGCTGTGCTGGGCAGCAGGAGCCACCTAGGCCCTTTAGGTAGGATAGTAACAGGATCAGATTTGCATTTTAGAGGGACCCCCTTTTCAAGGCTCTACAGGATGGGTTGAGAAAACTGCCAGAACACTAGAATATCGAGGCCAAGCAGGAGGCTGCTGTAAGGGCCCAGGGACGGTGGGAAGTAAGGAAGTGACAGTGGAGGAGGGACGGCGCATAATTCTATGAAGTGGAATTGACAGGACTTGAAAATCAGTTGGACAGAGGAATAGCGGCAAAGGGAAAAGTCGGTTCAATTCAGTGAACATGTGAGTCTCCACCAGCTGCTGCAGACGCAGGCCGGGGCCAACCCTGCTCACCATCCAGCAGCACCTGCTCTGTTCCAGGTGCTTCAGCTCTTCAGGGTTTCCCATTGGACCCTCCCCATGGCCCTGTGTGCTGGTACCTTCAGACCCATTTCACAGATGGGGACACTGAGGCTCAGAGAGGCCTGCTCTTTGTTCCTGGCTCTGCTACTACCCCAACATGTAACAGCACCGTGCAGCCTGCACTAGGAGTGCTTGGTATAGCTGCCTGGGTTTCTGTTCTGCAGCTGGGTTGGTTATGGCCCGTATATGGGGTCCTGGGGACCAGGGAGAGGAGGCACAGGCTTGGCGTCACTGAGAGGTTGCTTCTGGTGAGGAGTAACCAGCTCCTGAGGAGTATCTGCTTCCTGCTGACGTTTTTTCTCTTGGCTGGGGAGTGGCGGGAGGTGCATATGCATATCTGTCCCACATATATCTGTGTATGGATGGCACACATACTGTGGCCCCCATGCCTGTGCTTTTTTCTCCTTACTGAATCATCAGGTTCTCTGAAGTCCAGGCTGTGCCTGAGCCTCTGGACACGGAGCACAGTTGGTGGTGCCTAGCCTGTAGTGGAGGAGGTGGGGGAGGGCAGGCTGCAGGCCTCTCCACTCATGCTCTGCCTCTTGGAAGCACCCAGGGCACCGAGAAGCCCCCAGTCCCCAAACCTTCTGGGAATAGGCCCCCAGGGTGGGGTGGGGACAGGCAGTGTCCTCACCATCAGCTGCTTGATGGTGGGGTGCTCCTCGGCCTCCAGGCCAGAGGAAGGCTCCTTGTGGACGATTTCCACTCGGATGTCGTTTTTGGCTGAAACAACGCCTTTGAGATCTGGACATGAAATAGGAGAATGTAGGTGACAGATTCAGTTCTTACCTTGAGATATTAAGCTCTCCCCAGCCCTCCATCCCTGCCACCCCCTCCCCGGAGTTTACCCTCCAGCCCCTGAACTCAGTGTCCTCACTGGCCCCCTTGACAGGACATGCTGTGGGCTGTGTGGGCCTCCAGGGAGGCAACCACGTGGGCTGCCTGGCCCTGCTGATGCACCACAGACACTCTGGCTTGAGAGGCTGTCCTCAGCCACCTGTCACCTCACTGAGCTCTTCACCCTGCTGCGTCCTCACTACCTTCCAGAAGTCTTCTCTGACCTCCTCCCTTACGTTCTGAACTCTTCATCCATAGAACCACAGACCTCAAGGGTAGATCCTGGAGGCTCTCATGGCCCACCTCCCGCCCAAAGCAGAGACACCCCACCCCTGGCGCACAGGGAGCCTGCTTCTCTGTCGACACTTCCATGATGGAAGCTGTACTTCTTCTGTGGCCCGTTTCTAGGTGGAGAGCTCTGTTAGGAAATTCTTGCAGAAGTATGTTCCCTAAATTCCTGCTGAGAGGGTGATGAGGGAATTCCTGAGACCACATCACTAAGGGTCAACCTGGAAGCCCAGGTCACTTGGCTTGGGGTGGAAGGACAGCAAGGGGAACACACAGCTTTCTGCGAAGGGGTGGAGGTAACAGCCCTACTCTGGTGACTCATTTTGGGCATAATGCTCATAGAAGTTAGGGCTGGGTGAGGTCATAAAAGCCACATCATCCAGCTCTTTTATCATTACAAAGCAGGAGATCAGACTCCTGGAATGGTTGTGGCTTTCTCAGGCCCACGTAGTAGAAGAGGTGGGACCAGAAGACTGTGTCTCCGTTATCTCACCTCTCCTCTGCCATCCTGTCTTATGCTTGCACGTGTCTATCCCATGTAACTTCAGAGCTGTGCCCGGTATGGAAATCCTGGGAACACGCAATCCTTCAAGAGTGCACAAACACTAGAATTTTACTGCTAATGACTGCAGACCTTTAAAAGTTGGCTCATAGCAATTCCTTGAACTCATTTCTCCCGTGTGTGAGATCTGCCTTTCTGGTTAGACTGGCAGCTCTTGGAGAGCAAGGATGAAGCCAGTCTTTTCTCCCCTGATGTCTACACGGCCCCCGACTGAGAGCTATGCGTGTTCACCCCACAGGGCTGGCTGACTGCCCTGCCCTGCACATGGAGCCCATCTAGTCCACGCTCACATCTGCCGAGAGCCCATACTTCCGGACGCCACACATCAGACCCACTCCCTGCCCCAGGAGCGCAGCGCTGTGAGGCATTGTACTCCTGCTTACTTGCTCTCCAGGGCAGCCTAAGCCTGGCCTTTTTCTCTGTCCCCCTCCCTGAGATCCCGGGTCTCCCTCCCGTACTTCTCTGGGAACGGGCACAGCAGAAAGCCACAATGGTTGCCATAAGGACGAGGAAGGCCACGCCAGCTCCTACGGCCACCCCAATGATGACGGCCATCGGCACAGACTCTGTGGGAGAAAAGTGGGCACAGCTGATGCGGTGTAGAGGGAAGCTCACTGTCTCCCCAGGACCTCACCCAACTCCCTCAGGTCAGCCCCTGGCATGTGGGTCCCTCCTGGGAAATGCCTCACTGGGGCCTGGGCAGGCCCAGGCCGAGTTCAACAGGGGCCAGCTCTAGCTGGGACGGCAAGTCCAGGGTGAAGGACAGTGGGTGGTAGAGGAAAGGGCAGGGAAGAGCAGGGGAGGACAGAAGAAGGACAGTGGGGCAGGTAGACACGGAGAAGGGAGGGCCAAGGAAAAGGAAAGCCAAGGTGAGGGTGTGCTGGTATAGCTTGGCTCTCTCTGGCTTTGAACAGGAGTGATGCTCTCTCATGCAGGGCTGGGGAGATTTTCTTTGGAAAGGTCACTGTTCTGGTTGGGGGGGGGGTCTGTCCCTTCCTCCTTCTCCCTTTCCCAGGTGCACAGGTGATGGATGCACAGGACAACCAGCTCCTAGACAATGCTTTAGTCCAAGCCAGCTGCCCCGGGCCTGCTGGGCACCAGACTTGTAGCCCCCAGGTTTCTAGGTCTCAGAGGCAGGGAAGCAGGGTCATAGCTTACCCACTGCCCACCCCAGGGATCCCGTTGTACCCCCAGGCCTGTTGCTTCTCCCTCTAGGCACCCCTCCAGTGAGAGAGGGCTGGCACTCCAGCAGAGCAAGCCCCATTCCCTGCTATCTCTGCCTGACTCGGGCCCTGGCTGGGAGCAGTGATCTTCCAGATAGTCCTGGCTCTTCCATGGTGGCATACAGGGCTGAGCACATGACCCAGGGCCCCAAAGAGCCCATCAGGAATAGAACTAGAGAATGCTGGGGCAGGGGCCCCACTAAGGACAAGCTTCCCACTTTATAGATGGAGACACTGAGGTCTAGAGAAGTCAAGCAACTTGGCCAAGGACACACAGTTGCAGTAGAGCCAGGGTGAGTCCAGGCCTCCTCTTACTGCCCCATTCCATCTTCCAAACCCCACAAGATCTGGACAGCCTCCACAGCCATTGAGTGTGGCTGCATGACTTTTTTTGACCAGCTCACTTTAGTTCTCTTATCTTAAAATGGGGCTAATTATAGTGGCCACTGCTGAGGGTTGTGACAGAGGTTAGCTGAGCAAATGTGGGTAAAGGCCTTGGAACAGAGCCTGGCACCCACCCTACAGCCTTAAAGGTGGGTGAGGAAAGTTTCTTTTAAAGAGTGAGCCCCTGTCCACCCACTTGCATTGGGCAGTGTGGACGACAAGGGAATGGCTGGGCATTGGGTCTGGGGCTGAGGTTAGCTTCTCCTTGTTGCTGCCTCCTCTAAAGAGCAGAAGGGAGGAAGAAACCCCTGGAGATGCTGTGGGGAGGAGCTGTCCATGGTAAGGGCTGGCACCTCGGCTGGCAGTGTGGGTGGCCGAGTACACATTCCTTTGCTAAGCAGGACTTGCATACTAACTCGATTGCCACCTGCCAAGTGGTGGCCAAGACCACTGCATGGTGATGGGGAGGTGGCCAAGAGGAGGTGGGAGCAGCAGTTGCAGATTAGAAGTGGAAGGAGTTTGGGTTGGTCTCACAGCCAGGATTGAGAAAAGGGACCTGGCCTCAGCTGGGCTTGTGACACATGGACAGTGCTGTCTCTATGTCTGAGTTTCATGAGGAAAGAATAACTGCTTTGGAAGCTCCTTGGTTCTGAGCTTTTGAACTTGGCTCATTTGGGTTTGATTTATTTCTCCTTAGATTCCTAGTAATTTTTCCTGGGAAAACTCAGAGCCTATCTCAGCTGAACTCAGACTCAAAGCAGGATGGTGGAAAGCTCCTAATACCTCAGGGCCTCAGGGTCCCGACTGTAAACCTGGGCAGCTGGGGCAGCTGTATCTATGGTGCCTCTGACTCTGGTATCTTGGACGTCCACATGTCCTTGAGTTGTTAACAGCTGGGGCAAGGGCTGCCATCTTATCTGGACATTGGTTGCCAGGTAAGTGAGTGGGATGGGAGGGTGGTAGGGGCAAGTAGATTCTGGGGGCAGCCTCCCTTCCCAGTTTTCTCCTGACTGGCTTCCTGAGCTCTGGCCTGGGTTGCCTGTGCAGGCTGCTCTCCTCTGGACAGAACACCCCACCCATATCCCCTGAGACACATCGCTGCTCAGCCTCCTTTCCATCCAAGGTTGGCTGCACATCAGGGTCCAGCCACCAAGGGAGGAAAGTGTCTGGGGAGCTCCAGACAAGTGTGAGCAGATAAACATGAGATGGAGGTGGGGAGGAGGAGAGGACTCAGGGAGAACACAGAGGAGGCTGGCAACTGTCTGGGTTGTCTCTGAGTGGGCTGCAGAGGCCTCTAGCCGGCCTGTACCCTGAGCTACTGCTCTGATAGGGGCATGTCTGCCCAGATGGGAGGGGCCCTGCATGGAGTGTGTTGAAAGGGACATGGGCCGTATGGCAGGACTCCCAAGTCCTAGGTATGGCTTTGATTGGCCCTGTAGAGTCTGATTTGCTATGTCCTGATTTTTTTCTGGTCTCTGTTGGGGGTAGGGGACAATCATCTCCTGGGGGGTCCTAAGAAAGAGCAACTTAACCCAGCCAGGCTGATGACCACTGTGCTGCTGAGTGCCTTGCCCCAGCAGCCTTGGCCTGGGGGTGAGATGACACTTCTGTGGGGATTGCAAAGAGTGGGGGAGGCGCAGCAGTAAGCATGGATTAGCCACAGCAGGGGCTGAGTCCCCTGTCCTGGGAAGCAATGGCCAAGCTGGTGATGATGCTGAGAAGCAGGAGAGTCAGGGAGGGCCTGGACATAGAGGGACAGGGGCCAGCAGACCCCAGAGGGCAGCAGCCAGGGCTTCTGGAGAGAAAGGATGGAAGGAATGCAGGCAGGAACAAGAGCCAGTGTCCAGGAGAGGAGGAGCCTGTGGGGTGCTGCAGCAGATGGGAGACAGGTCTCTGGGGTCCCTAGCCCCAAGCTGGCTGGGAACCCTCTCCCCACTGCTCTGACTACACTGAACACTTGGGACAGGGAGGGCAGAGAAGTTAGCGGCCAGCACAGGCCTTCCTACCCCCTTTGGGGGCCCCTCCCCACTAGCCAAGAATCCCTTCCCGCCACCCGGGCAGTCCTCATCATCTCCTTCGTACCTGCTTCCAGCCCGGCTCCCGACTTCATTTCTGAACCTGTTTGGAAATAAAGCAAGCGTCCACAGCGAGGGCCGGCTGGCAGGGTGGGGTGGGACAGGGTCGGCCACCTGGAGGGGCTGGGGGAGGGGCTCCTTCTTCAGTCATGTCTCTGGAACCCCCAACGGATCTAGGCTAGCCCAACTGAACTTAGGGTTCATTTGCACTGGCTCCAGAGGAGCTAGGGACCAGAGAGAGAAGTTGTCTCAGAGAGTTCGGGGGGTGGGGTGGGGTGAAAACATTTAGGGGAGGGGGCACCAACAGGAAGACGGGGAGGGTGGGTAATGGGGACCAGGAGGGTTCGGGATGATGTGTGGATGATGTTACGCGGATTATGTGCAAAGCGTTATGCAGAGCAGCGCCTGTGAGGGAAGAGGTGGTGGGAGAGGCCGTGCGGTTTGGTCTGCAGGTGCTGGCCTGCAGCCACAGCAGCCTGGGGGCCTATAGCCTGTGGGTGGGCCTTCAGCTTGGAGGGTGGCAGAGACCACCCGGACTGAGGCCTGCCCAGAGGCCCAGGCCTGGCTGAGCTGAATCCCTGGTCCACCATGGCTTAGCCCTGGTTGGCAAGGGACAAGACCTGCAGCCCGTTTGGGGGGCCACACGTGCTTCTGGCTGTATGTGGAGCTTCTTGGGCCTCCACTCTGTCCTGGAGGCTGCCCCAGAAATCTGAGCAGAGCCTGGGGCCTGAGCACCTCTGCCAGGAGCTAAGGCAGTGGGCACATGGGGCTGTGAGGGGTGAGGCTTCTGCCTTCCTCCTCCCTCTTGTTCTCTGCCCAGCATTGCCCTCTGGCTGGTGTCTCCTTTGCAGCACAGTGGTCCCTGTGTCTCCTGGGGTCAGCAGGTGGCCTAAGCCCAGTCCCCACACTAGGATCAGGAGGAATAGGCCCTACTCTTAGCTTTAGCACCGGGGACTCCTGTGGCTTCTGGGTTGCTGGTTTGGCTTGTTGTCCTAACTGGGGCTGGGCAGCTTCCTCACACATCCAAGCCAGCATACCCTATGCTTTGTCCAGGCACCACAGCTTAATAAGGGCCCCTTGGTGGCAGATCAGGTCCCCTGAAACGTGGTCCTCAGGTGCCAGTCTGAGCAGTTTCCGTCCTCTCTTGTTTCCTGGTGGGAGCTAGGGCAGTGGGCCACAGCAGGCAGCTGGTTCCCCAAGGCCATGTGGCCAGTCAGGAAGAGCACCGTGACGCCCTTGGGCCCTGACCCACCTCATAGTCTCTGGCAGGCACTGTGGGTGCTTTGTCCCTCAGGACTACCCAGGCTGGGAGAGGGCCCTATGGGCCCTGCCAGTCCCCTCCAACCCTGGCAGCCCTCACCTTGCTCCTTGAGCCGGATGATCTCAGTGTCAGAGCCAAAGCTGTTCCAGGCGGTGCAGTTATAGATGGTCTGGAAATCGGCGCGCACGATGTTGCTGATGGTCAGCGTGGAGATGACGCCCTCCTCGGTGCTGATGGTCTCCACGGTGTAGCGCCCCGACGTCCCTGATTCCAGCACATTCTCCTTCCAGGACCAGGCCTGCCAGGAGTGCAGAATTAGGGGGAGACACCCAGGGGTAGGGGGCAGAATCATGGTGCCACCTTGCTTCTCCAGGCAGAGACAGCCAGGCTGAAGTTCATGCTCACTGCCACATACCAACACATGCACATACCACAGACATACACATACACATACACCCCACAATAGACAAGCACGTATCACAACACATACATAGACCATAGCACATCACACATATGCACACACATATGAACACTTACATGGGCACTATGAAAGTTTTGAGACAGACTGTGTTATAGTTCATTATTTCACTTTCTAGAAACACAGTTGACAGCGTCCTTATGCATATCTGAAAACTTTTGTAATGACTCTCATATAAATACATATAAAAACACCCACATCATACCACACCATTTACCACACACATGCAGTCAGACATACACGTGACACACCATAATACGCATTCACACAACACTCACAGACGCCGCACAAACACATGTACACATACCACACACACCATAATGCACAGGCCCACATGTACATACAGCCACAACACATGTAAACACACATCATGACATGTGTACATTCATATCATACCACACACATCACCAACATGTGAACACACATGCACACATGGCCTACAAACACAGGTACACACACAACACACCACGTGTACCCATAACAAGTACACACACCACAAACATGTACATGTGCACACACACTGACACACCACCCACCACAACACATGTGCACACAATCCACTCACACATGTACACATATGCATATATACATAGAGGTTGGGGCCACCTTAGTCATCTAAGAAGAGGGTCCAGTGTGGCTCCACACTCAGAACATTTTTCCAGCAAAGAGGGAGCTGTGGCAGCAGCCATCTGAACCCAGGGCCCACCTGGAGCCTCCCCCAAGGATGTTCCTCCAGGATGATGTGGCTGCCTCGGTGGGTCTTAGGTGGGACAGCAGCTCCAGGGGGTTGAGTCTAGCTTTGTTACTTCGTCTGTTTTTACAAAGTGTGTGAGAGTTGGGTTTGTGATCAACCTCATTTATCTTAGTTTATTTAACTGTTTCCAGAGTCCTTCCATGAACATTGTATGCACCTGAATGTGTTTAAGCCCCATGAATGCCCTAGTTTGCAGTGCTTATGAGCACGTGGCAATGCAGGCCAGTGCTTGGGGGGCCTGGGCAAGGCAGGAGCAGGGCTTCTCAAACTTGATGCTGTCCATATCTGGGCCTAGCTCATTCTTGGTTGAGGGCTGTCTCATGCACTGAAGATGTTGGCAGCACACCTGGGCTCTACCCACTAGATGCCAGTAGCACCCACTCCCCCAGGTGTGACAATAAAAAATGTCTCCAGAGATTGCCAAATGTCCCTGAAAGCCAGTGAGATCCACTGGCCTAGAATTAGATGGCTCTAAAGAGAAAGATGGTGTGAAAATGCTTAAGACTGAATAGGATATATATATATATATTTTTGAGACAGTCTCATGTTGCTCAGGCTAGAGCACCATGGCCTCAGTCTAGCTCACAGCAACCTCAAACTCCTGGGATCAAGTGATCCTCCTGTCTAGGCCTCCTGACTAGCTAAGACTACTGGCACATGTCACTAAGCCCAGCTAATTTTTTCTATTTTTGGCAGAGATGATGTCTCACCATGTGGTGCAGACTGGTCTCAAACTCCTGGGCTCAAAATGATTTTCTCATAATGTGGCCTCTTAATGTGGTAGGATTGCCAGCCCAAGCTACCATGCCCAGCCATTGGGATATTTCACAATGGGCATGTACTACATTTATAGTTTTTAAAAAGTTAGTGAGTGACATTGAGGAAGCATATGTATTGGTTTTATTGGTGAATCATCGCCAGTTTTGTGTGAATCTTTCAGACAGTGAATGAATCAAATGCCTGAGAAAGTGTGTAACAGCAATAATACTCTAGCAGTTTACAGGATGGCAGTTTCAGTCTGTACTGGTGTCTCAGTCCCAGACACACACTGGATCTTGGCTGTTCATCCTCCCTGTGCTGCTGTCCTGTGAGAAGGTAGAACTGTCCAGCAGAGTTGACCCCGGGCAATCTTTAGCAGGATTGTCCTAGGCACTGGGAATTATTAAAAATAATATCCCACCCAATAGTGCTATTAAAATGTTCACTTCCCTTGGTTTCCATGCCTGAGATTCTTCCAGTTTCAGACAGATTTGGTTGTAAGACCCTCCCTTAAAAAGTGCATATTTGTGGGTTTGGTGGGAGGCAGCGAAGGTGACTCTGTTGCTTTGGCTGCACTGAAAGGCTGAGGGTTTGGAAGAGAGGGGGGAGAATGGAACAATCATTTTAGAGGGGACGACTCTTGATAAATGGGGCGGGTCCCCGCGGACCTGGGCAGTGATTTACAGAGCAGAGCCCTGGAGGGTATGCAAGGGGGCTGCCAACTGTAAACGAAGCTGTCCCACACAGGAGAGGGGCCTGGGCTGTGCCTTCCCACCCCGGCTTGCCCTCTGCCACTAGGCTGCAGAAGCGGGTCTGTGCAGAGGTGGGGGACTGCCTGTGCATCTGTCTTCACACGTCTTTCTGAGAGACGTGGGGCAGGTTTGTTTCTCCCTAGCGAGGCGCGCCGGTCCCCCCCCACCCCACCCCCCCCACCGGCACTCACGATGCGGTCGGGCGGCGGCGTGCTCCGGATGAAGCACTTGATCTGCCCTTTTTCGCCGTGCAGGGCGTGCTGGGTCTGGGTGCTGGAGATGATGGGGGGTCCTGTAGGGGAGACAGCGGCACATTAGTGGCCTGGGAAAGGCAGGTCCCTGGCTGGCGCCCTTTTGGTGGGGGGGCCGGAAGTTTGTTAAGCATTTCGCAAAACACTCCTGGAAGGTCTGTGAATGCAAGGTCGGGGACTCGAAATAAATCAAACTCTTAAGGGACACGAGCCAACCGTCCAAGTCAGAGTCCCCAGAAGGTATAAATAACTGCAGTGATAGGTGGTGATGTTAGTGCCACAGGAGCGGCGCAGGTAAAGTGCCAACTGGCTCCAGAGAAGAGAGCGCGGTTCTCTCCGGCGGCTGCGCGGCGGTGGCGGGAGGCGTCGCTGGACCACACGGACCTCCCGCAGCCGCCGTCTCCCAGGCGACCAGGAGAGGGCGTCCTTGCCACGCGGACGGAGGACGTCCTCGCGGGGACTGGCTGCGCCGGCCACGTGCACGTCTGTACCTGCGGGCTCAGTTGGTCCTGCAGTTCCCCTAGTTGTCTGCACGTAAGTACCTAGACGGTTCAGGGAGACCCCAGCACCAAACCCCAATGTTATCCAGTCCGTTCGTGTGTGTGTGTGTGTGTGTGTGAGAGAGAGAGAGAGAGAGAGAGAGAAAGAGAGAGAGAAAGAGAGAGAGACAGGACAGCGCTGTCTAAGAGAGTCCCCATGGAGCAGAGCCCGACCCGCAGGGCTTCCTGTCTGGTTCTGCCTGTTGTCTAACCCCAGAAAGCTAGTTTAGTCATGGGCTTAGCTAACTTCCTGGCTGGGCTGGGCTGGAGGGTTGAGGGTCCCCCTGCAGTCCCTGGGGCAAAATCATGCTGGGAACAAAACAAAAATTGCTGCAAATATAATTGCTGTTTCTTAGCCACCTTAATGAAAACAGATTTGCATTTCCATGAGCAGCTCTCAGTCAAAAGGAGAAAAGGTACCAGGACACATTCAGGTGACTTCTGCTGAGTTTAGGACAGCAAAGGCTTGGGGCTGGGGGAAGCAGGTGTAGGGGACCCTCCATGCCCGCCTGGATGGCTTAGAGAGTGGGCTGAGCCCTCCCTCTCTTCCTCACATGGCAGAGAGAGACAAGGGCTGATGATTTAGGGACCTGGATGGTGCTTTGTTTTGCTGCTGGGTAGAAAAGTGATGATGCCATAAAACCTTTTCCCTTCATTTCCCAGGAACCAGGAATCCCTTGAGGGGTTCTCAGGGTTCTAAAAGCCAGGAGCAAATGCATATGCATGTGTGGGCTTCTTAAAAGGAAGCAAAAACCAGCATAAAGGGAAATGGGGTTGGAGCAATCAGTGGGTGGTATGATTTATCCCCCCTCCCTGCAGATGCCCAGTTTGCGCCAAATCAGTGGAAGTCTGTGCCAATTTATTCCCCAAAGGACTCCTGCCCTGAGAACCTGGACTCATTTTGGGCACTTCCTTTGGCCTGGGCCCAGGCTCCTGCCCACTGGGCTTTGCCCTCCTTCCACCTGCTCTCCGGAAGTGGGAACAGACTTGTGCTCCCCTGACAGGGCCACTTAATCTCTACAGCTTTTCTCTGCCTAGCAACCTAGGGGAGCTGGTGCTGGAGGGTGGAGGTGGAGGAGGGGCAGAGATGGATGGGACTCAGTGCAGGGCCCAGGCTGCGGTGTTTGTCGCCCAGGCCTGTGCTCCCTGGCTCCTTCTCTCCTCAATAGTCTCAAGCGGCAATAGATGTCAGCTCCTTCTCTAACCCCTTTTCTCCAGAACCCACAATGCTCCTTCAATAGTTTCTGGCTTGGGGTCCCTGGAGGTCGCATGTGAGTGTGAGGGTCCCTCAGCAGGTCACAGGGCCAGCACAACGGAACTAGATGCAGGCACTGGCAGCACGACTCCCCCACACCCTCCCATGCAGCTGATCTCACCGGAGCCACGAGCGAGCTGAGCGAGTGTCAGACACCGGTGCTGAAAGGAAAAGGCTGCAGCCCGGTTGCCATGGATATGTGGAGGCGCGATCAGATAGCTGTTATTTTTAGCCCTGCAGTGCCAATTTATTGGTGGCATCCTGGGGACGCACAGGAAAGGCAGGAGGGCTCCTGAGTCAGGGCTTTGCCCAGGACAAGTGGCCTGTGCACACCCTGGGGTCGGGTATGATCACATCCTTCTGGAGCTGCCACAACGCTGGGGCAGGGAGAGGAGTGGAAATGGTAGTAGGGAGCTGGCTTAGGGGGCAGCAGAGTGGATGAGGAGGCATCAAGCTGGCTTTAGTTTTCTAGCAAAGGGAGAGAGGACAGATGAGGTCTTGTGTTTGTGTGTGGGGAGGCGGCATCCTGGGTAGGGAGGAAGCTGAAGCCCACTGGGCTAATTCCAAGAACTCAGCCATGCCTCCCCACCTCCTCCCCCCCAGACTAGGTCTGTGGCTCTGTGCTCAGAGCGCTGGGGCTCTAATCTGAGGCAGGCCTTAGTGGGAGCAGGGAGCTCCCAAAGGGCCACAACAGTGTCATGACAGAGGTCAGGGTGGGGGACCTTTGGAAACAGCAGGGGGAATCGAATCAGCTGCTTCAGTTTCTGAGGACCCAAGCACCTATGATGATGGCAGGGATGTTGGAATGCTCATACTGGTGCCACAGCTTTTTGAAGTCTGTCTACACCCATGGCTGTCTGGTCTGATGGCCCTGCCCTAAATGTTTCACGTGGCAGTCCCCGGTTAACACCCACCGTGAAAACACTCTCCTGCTGCAGTTATAGGGCCCCCTGGACACTTGATCTCATGGAAGTGGTAACAGACTGACTGGTTCTAATGTAGTGGGAATAGGCTGACTAGGAGCTACTGAGATGCTCCTTCAGTTCCCACAGGGTGAGGTCATGGGAGGTGGATCACTAGACATGGGATCTGTGTTGGCCACCCAGTGACCTCTGACTCTTATTTTCCTGGCCAGAAAAAAATGCACCAACTACTACTCTTAGGGCTGAGACCCCTTGGAAGATAACAAAAGAGGGGGTGACGAGAAAACTCCCCAGGCCCCTCCTCACCTGATAGGGACTCCAAGAGTTGGACATATTTGGGGTTCTCCCCTAGTTGGAGATGACAGCAAGGCCCAGGGCCAGGGATAGCCTCTTTGCAACAATGCCTGGTGCCAAAAGAAAGGGTCCCTCTCCCCTCCTCCCTCCCCGGCCTGCCCCAGCAGGGGCTTACCGTTGACAGTTAGGGTCACCTCTCGCTCCCCGGCTCCCACGCGGGGCACCACAGCCCGGCACACATATTTGCCAGCATCCTCCTGGCGGACGGATTTGAGGGTCAGGGTCTTTTCATTGCTCAGGACCTAGGAGAGTTGGGAGGGTCAGACGCCAAGAGGAGGGGGAGGGCTTGCTGTGGAGAGGCAGGCACCAGCACCTCAGGGGGAGCCAAGGTGGGCAGGGAAGAGGCAGGAGGCTTCCTGACACACTGCCCTGAGGGTGGGACTGAGGAGCCCCAGGAAGTGTACATGCTGTGTGTCTGGAGGGGCTACTCCCTGGTGCAACCTGTGGGGGGTCTGGGGGAGTAAGACAGGAGGGGCTCTTCCTCTCCTAGGCTGGCCATGGCTAACTAGGAGGTACAGACTTTTTTCAGGGTCCCTGACCTGTGTTTTCTGAGTCCTTTTCAGTATCTGTTTGAAATACAGCTTGGGGTGACGGGAGGAAAGCACTCTGGCATGAGCTGGATCTGAGTTTGATTCTGGCTCACAGGAAGCACCTGTGTCTTTGTCAATTACTTGTCTCCTCAGATGCTCAGCTTCCTTGTCTGTATTTGGGGACATTGACAGGTTATGGGACAGCCTCACAAGGTCAGTTTTGTCCTGCCTATTCCTGCTCCCCTACCCAGGGGTCTTCCTGTCCCTCCTTAGGGGAAGGACGTTGGAGGGCTCTCAGGACACGGAACCACATAGGAGAAGGGGGCCTGGCCTAGCCCCAGGGCGATAGCATGGGTTCTGGGGGGAGTTGAACGGCCTTTCTTGTGACCCTACATGTGTTGGTGACCATGACTCCCTGCTCTTCTTAAAGACTCACAGTAGGGCAGAACTGCTGTGGCTGAGTGTGTCCAGGGTGAGGGGGATGCCTGGGCACCTGGGTCCCTCTCCTCCATCTGGGCCTACCTCTCTGTGGCTGACCAGACAGTGACCTCCCAGTATGCCAGTGAGAAGGTCCAGCAAGGCAGCTACCTGCACTCGGCCATCCTCCTGCCCCCATCAGAGGACCAGGGTCTGAGCTTCAGACTTACCACCCCGGAGCCCCGCTTCATCCAGACGATGGTCAGGGAGGGGTTGCCGGTCCAGGCGCAGCTGAAGACAGCATCAGAGCCCAGATCCACTAGCAGAGATTGGGGCTCTGTGCTCATCCGGGGCCCAACTGTGAGGGGAAGAATGGGCTCCAGTGGGCCAGGAAGCCCTGGGGCCTTCCTTCCTGTCCCACTCCCACCACTTGAACTGGCTTTAGCATGTTCTCTCATATTCTGTCCTCTGCCCAGGCTGGGCCTGGGTCTGTAGTGGGACACAGAAGTGAGGAGGAGACCCTCTGCCCCGAGCTCAGCCTCTTGGGCCTGTAGGGGTTGTGGGCAGCATAGGTCCTGGGGAGAAGGTGCTCAGGCCCAGCTTCTGTCTGGGTTTGCTGCGAGGGACATCCCATCCCTCCCCTCTTAACTGATCCCCCCTGACTTGGGAGGGTGGAGGAGGCCCTTATCCCTGTGTGTGAGCAGGGGCTTCCTTCTGCCTATCAGCCCCTTCTCCTCTAGCCTCAGCTTCTGTATGGAGGGCTGTGAGGCACCAGCCCAGCCCCCAGGCCCTGAGAGGCCCTCCAGGGTGGCCGTGGGCTGCCTTCCCATTCCAGACACCAGGCCTTCTTGGCCCTACCACAGCAGCCCAGGCCTTGGGCCCACTCCCACACCTCTGCTAAGCGTGGAGAGATAGCGGGAGCCCCCCTTCCTTTCCCCAGCACAGAGCGGGTGCAATGGTGGGTTTCAGGCCCAGGGCCCAGAGCTCCTTTCAGGGGTCAGATGGAGAATGAAACTGGGGTTAGGAGGTGGAGATTGGTCCTTTAGTGCAAAATGCACCTTCTGTTGAGGCTCTTGGGGTCAAGGGGTGGGTCAGAATAAAGAAGTTTATAGGGTGGTGCCCGTAGCTGGGTAGGGCGCCAGCCGCATACACCTCAGGCTGGCAGGTTCAAATCCAACCCAGGTCAGCTAAACAACGATGACAACTGCAACAAAAAAATAGCCAGGCATTTTGGCAGGCACCTGTAGTCCCAGCTACTTAGGAGACTGAGGTTAGGGAATCACTTAAGCCCAAGAGTTTAAAGTTGCTGTGAGCTGTGACTGATGGTGACATAGTGAAAAAGTTTGTAAAGTGCTTTTGAGGCTGTAAAGGGCAGGCCACCAGTTCAGGATTATCGTTTTCAGCACACTAGCCAGCCAGTCCATAGTGGCAGCTGCCCCAGGGATGTGGAGGCATGTTCGAGAGTCCCTCGGTGGAGGCTGGTGTGTGGAGGGTGATGGGCTTGGTCAGTGCCAGATCTCAGTTCTCCCCTGGCACTTACTGTGTGACCTCAGGCCTCCATCTCCTCACCCAGAATACAGAAAGGATGACACCTGCCTGTCACAGACTGTGTGTTTGTGCCTCTCCCCCAGGACACATGTTGAAACCCTCACCCCAGTGAGCTGCATTAGGATGTGGGACCTTTGGATGGGGCCCCTCATGATGGATTAGGACTTTTATAAGAAAGAAGTGACCCAGGAGAGCTGGCTTCCTCCCTCCTCCTCTCTGCCATGTAAGGACACAGCAAGAAAGTGGCTGTCTGCAAGCCAGGCAGAGAGCCCTCATGGGAACCAACGGTGCTGGCACCCTGATTTCTGTCGTTCAGGCTACTCAGTCTGTGGTGATTTGTTACAGCAGCCTGAGCTGAGGCACTGCCTCACTGGGTCATTATGGGATCAAAATAAACATGAAACACCACACAAAGACGTGTTTTGTGAAGTGCCAGGTGATAGGCCTGGTAGGCACGATAGTGCCTGCATGAAGCTGGAGGCTCTGTTGTGTGCAGGGAATCTGGCCAGGGTTTCTCCAGCCCTGAGCAGAGACCACCTGGTGCCTGCTCACCCAGGGACCCCAAATCATGCACTCACAGTAGACGTCAACTGTACGGCTGAGGTTGGTGCTGCCCAGGGCATTGGTCACCTCGCAAGAGACAGGCTCTGAGAAGTATGTGTGGTCCACAGTGGTCCTGTACACTTCTCCAGATGCCTCTTTGATGATCTGGCCTCGTTTGGCCCACCTGCAACAGAAGTCCAGAGGCTGGTGTGGACCTCAAACAGCCAGGCCAACCCTCTGGGAGGCCTGGTGTGGGGCAGCAAGGGGCAGGTCCCTCAGGGGAGGTCCCCATGAAAGGGTATTTCCCGGGGTTGGGAGGAGTTGGTCTTTCTGCCATGCAGGCTTTGGCCAGTGGTCACCAGGCAGTTAGTGGCCATTGACGAGAAAGTTATCGCAAAGAGAGGTGAGTTGATTATCCAACTCGATGGAGAAAGTCCAGCTGTTGGCCACCAGATGGCTGGCGTGCTCTGAGCTGCAGCATGGGCCCTGCTGAGTCTAGAAATCAGAGGCCAGGGTCAAATGGTGTATGCCCACACAAATGCACATGCATGCACTTGCACACACACAGAAGTGAGGCTCCAGGAGGCTTGGTTTCCTGATGAGGCAAAATGCTATAGGAGAATTGAGACCTAGGTCTCCTCTCCTGACCAAGTGGTAGGAATGCCAGCAATCTGTTAGGAGGAGAGGTGCTGGCGATCGGGCCTGATGGCCCCCTTCCCACTTGGTCAGCTCCCTCAGCTCTCTGTCCTGGCACACCCCCAGGGTGGGTCCCTCATGGGGCCCCCTCACTCCTGAAAGTCCTTTTGCCACTTGTTCTATTCTAGCCCAACCGCTGCCCTCCCAACCTAGCCTCAGTCTGCAGAGGTGGTGGCTCCACCAGCCTGGATTGGTAGGGGGAGGCAGGTAGGAAGGTTCTTCCACTGGCCAGGCCATACCATACTGGAGGGGAGACTGAACAGCCTTGGGCTGGGCTTGGTTCTGGCCATGGGGCACCATCCCCTCATTGGCCCAGCAACCCAGCAACCTGCAGAGCCCTGTAGGGTTCATGTGTGCTTGTACATGCAAGTAGGAGCATGTAGGTGCATGTGAAGGTGGGGCTTTCCTTCCCTCACACCTCCCCACAGCCAGAGTTCTCCGTTTCCCTGCTTCAGCCCCACTGTGGATAACACTCATTTGAAGTCACAGGACTTCTGACAGGTTCCTCCCACTGCTGTGGGGAGTTTCTGTCTTTGCAGAGCTGGACAGACTCAGTGGCCTCTTAAGTGTCACCTGCAGTTCCTCTCCCTTTCCCACTTCCCTCTCCTGTCCCTCCCTCCATCCAGACAGCCACTGCTCCCTGTCACGCTGAGCACCTGGGCCGGCCTGTGGAGCTGTTATCGAGAATTAATATTGAGTAATTATTAAGAACACGATTAATAATAACAATTATAGTTTAACTACACAGCAAACTATAGCTCCCCGAGAGCTTAAGGAGCTTCCCAACAAAACATGATGAGTTATTCATGAGTCACTTCAATTTCCAACTTTAATTTAATGACCAGACTTAATAGTCAGGCCAGCCCCTGCCTGAGGCAGATGAATTCAGCTGCAGGAACAGTTGGGGCTCTGCATCCAGCCCCAATTCTTTTCTCCTGCTGAAGTGAGGTGGGGGAGCCTCTGGGCTGGGGGGGTTTGGGGCCCTGTGAGCTGGTTCTGTTGAGGAGATCTGGCTTGCTTCTTCTTCAGGATCCCTGGGTAAGGGGGGGCGTTTCTCCCCTCCCTGTGGCCGTCACCAGGAAAGTCATGGAGGGTGGTGGCCCTGCCTGGCCTGCTCAGCCAAGCTGGCAGGATGACTGCAAGGGTCCCCCAGGCCTGGAACCTGGTGTTCCAGGTGCCATGGGTCCCCTCCCCTCAGACCTGGCTCGTGGCAAGGGAGCCAGAGAAGGGACAGCCAGAGGATGGGACTTGGGCTGGCAGGGGACGCCTTGTCATGGTCCCAGCAGAGTGGTGCTACCTGAGCCATCTCCTGTGCAGCCACTGACCTCAGTTTTTTCCAGGCCCAGTTCTTCATGTGCAGGTGGGGGTGCAGGAAGGATTCTCTGACCATCCTCCTCCAGGGTCATGGGCTGGGTCCTCAGGATCCCTGAGAGCCCCCTGCTCACGTCTCTCAGCCAGTCCTTCCCCCCACCTCTATTCCCTCCCACACCTGAAAACCTTCAGGGGGTCCCTTCCAGAGATGCAGAGACTCAAACCACTGCATCCAAACATCTGGCTGCAGGTCAGGGCCGGAGACCACTCTCACTCAGTGTCCTGCCAGTCTTTTCCTCTCCCCGTCTCCCCTGTGGCTGTCACCCCCTTTTCCAGCCCCTGTAAAATGGAGTCATCCTAAGCCTGTCCCAGTCAACGTCTAGTTTGGTCCAAACAAATGTAAGAGGATTAATTATTATATCAGGGCATCAGGAGGCCTGGTGTGTGACAACCACCAGGTCATCCTCACAAAGTGCCTCTTGTTGTGTTGGTGGGTGGTGCCCATACTGCTGTCTGCAGGGAGCACCCAGAGGCCCTCCAAGGAGCAGGCCCATAGGCTCCCGCTGCTGTGTGGCCCCTGGGGCATTGAAGGGGCAGTTCCAGGCCCACCTATCTCCCCTTTTGGGTGCTGAGGTGCACAGGGCATATCTAATTTCAGAGAATGCAGCCTCTTAGGTGGAACAGGGAGGAAGCAATCAAGACAAATAGGAGTAAAGACACAGTTTCCCAAACCTTGTCAAAGTTAGCTGGGAGACATGTGTTTTTTGTTTTTGTTTTTTTTGGAGACAGAGCCTCAAGCTGTCACCCTGGGTACAGTGCTGTGGCATCACAGCTCACAGCAACCTTCAACTCCTGGGCTCAAGTGATTCTCTTGCCTCTGCCTCCCTAGTAGCTGGGATTACAGGCACCTGCCACAACGCCTGGCTATTTTTTGGTTGCAGCCATTGTTGTTTGGTGGCCCGGGCTGGATTTGAACCATCCAGCTGAGAAGTATGGGGCTGGCATCTTAGCTGCTTAAGCCACAGGCACTAAGCCAGGAGACATGTGTTTTCATGGAATGAGATCTGCTTACAGGGTTTGCTCTTAGACCAGGTCACCTCCAGGACAAGCACCTGGCTGCCTGATAAGACCTTGCCAGAGTGAAGGGCTTTGGGTATGTGTGGACCTTCTCTTTTCCCAGGCCACTCCAACTCCCCCACATTCACCTGGGGGACAGAGGGCTCCCCCCAAACCTCTGGAGCCCTGAGGGGACTGTTCCTGCACTGACACATTTTTATGGTCCTGGTCAGTCAGAAGGCTAGAAGGGAAGGTGGCTGGTAAGTATCAGTGGCCTGAACAGGAGCCCTAGCAAGGGCGGGGCTGACTAAGCCCGTGAGCTCTGGGGAGGACAGAGGGAGCGGCCCCTATGGGAACCTGCAAGCTCTCTGCTTGTTCACATATTAGCTCTTTAGCATGAAAAAAACAAGCTCCAGAACCACAGAGAAGCCGCTAAGAATGGCCTGTCAACTCGCTTCACCTGGACGCGACTGCTGCTAACATTTTCTACACAGGATTCACCAGGGCCGCTCCCTGGGCACAGTCCCACTTCCTCTTCCTCCTCTTCTTGCCACTATCCCACTTCCCTGAGAATCAGGTCTGCAGCAGGTGTTCTGGGTGTGTACGAAGCCTGTTCTGGGCAGAGGCTGCCAGTCCTGGGCTGTGCCACCCTGCTGTCTGTGCAGCCCGTGGTCCCTAGTCTGCAGGTGACTTGGGGCTTGACAGTGAGGGGCAGTGGATGTGGGAGATTCTGTGCCCTCGTCTCTGGGGACAGCTGGGAGGGTGAATGGGGTGTTGGTGGGTGTAAGGGCGGCCCTGGGGAGCTGGGCACCTGGTGTTCACAGCAGGGCTGGGAGTAGAGGACAAAAGCTGACCTCATACGGAGAAGCCTGGGCCTGGCAGGTGCAGGGTAGGTGCCCAGAAAAATGGCATCTCCCTGGGTTTTCCTCCTGCATCTTTGGTTACTCTCAAATAGATGCCAGCCCCAGCCAAAGCAGACATTCCCCTGGACCTGACTGGGCCATGTGGCTCCAGGGAGCCTGATGTCCTGGGCTTGGAAGGGACCCTAGAGGTCATGTGACTTCTCTTCTGCCTCTAGTCGGTCCAGTGAATGGTAACTAGATGGACAGATGGTTTTGTACAATTTTAAAATACCCTCAGAGAGAGGCTCTTTGCCCTCTTGGGCTTCTGGTGCTAGTGCTGCCAGTTCTCTGGCTGCAGGGAGCACCGTGTGTCCAGCCTGAGCCTCTGCCGCCTCCTGGCCCATTGCTGGGGCCACACTGCTTCCCCTCCCTCTTCCTCACTCCCCTGGACTGGCTTATTTCCTAGTTCAGGGCATAAGTACCCCAGGTTCTCACAGAGGTGGTCTTGTGCATCCCCGTCCAAGTCTGGGCTGGAGGAGGACACAGGGGCAGTTAGGTGGCCAGTTCCACATGCATCTGAAAGGAGGCGAGTTCCTGAGTCCTCCCCTGAGCACCTCCAGGGTCACTTAGTCTCCTGGATCTAGAGTCTTGGAATCTGGGGCACAGGCAGGGAGGCGCCAGAGGAGCAGCTGTGTCTGCTCACTCAGCCAGACACATTGAGGACTATCTAGCCTATGCCAGGGACGTGCTATGAGCTGACAGTCGTCCGTGATGACATCACAGCTCCTGCCTTCAAGAAGCCTCATCAAGAGGCAGAGACAGGCATGTAGAGAACAGTAGTGCTGTCTTCAGTGTTGTAAGCAAGGGACACTCCCAGGTACCTGCGGGATAGTTGGCTCTCCCAGGAACCCTGCCCTACCCAGGGGAAACCAGGCTCTGATCTCACTGGCTCTCAGGGGCAGCTTTCTGCCTCTTGTCAGAAACAGGGAAAATGAGCTTCTCTAGCAGGGGGGTGGCCCGTGCTGCCCCCCACAAAAGAGGAACATTCGCACCCAAGGAGGCTCATGGGCATGTGGGGGACCAGCAGACACCTACTGTGAGCCACGTAGCACTTCGGCCATGCCACAGACCCCAGTGACACTCCCACAGCAGGCACAGGGTGGGGCCAGTGGCTCTCACCTGTACTGGGTGACAGCTGGGTTGGCCTTTGCAGAGCAGTGGAAGGTGACGACATTGTCCTCCAGCACTGGCTGTGGTTCCACCGACAGGTTGACAAGTGGGGGGTCTGTGGGGAGAGGGCAGTCACTTGTAGGCCAGAAAGAGAATGGGGCAGGGAGACCCCGATAAGGGTCAGAGATTAGATTCCACCACCAGGGACCCTCAGAGCTAGCACTGTCCTGTGTGTGTGGGTGTGTGTGTGTGGGGGGGGAGGGCAGAGGAGGCTGCTGCTGTCCTTGGAGGGGCCTGATCCAGACAGTTCTGGGGTGGGCTCAAGGCCCTCTGTGAACTCCAAGCCTGCTGCCCACAAGGACACCAGCCAGGACGTATGGCCACCTGGCCGCAGCATGTGCCTGTCCTCCAGCTCTTGGGCTCTAAAGACCATAGGGAGGAGGGGCGGAAGAGGGTGGGGAGGCGGGAAGAGGGTGGGGAGCATGGACACTAAGCCCCTTTCAGTGCAGACTTTCCATCTTTGAAATGTCTGTTTATTTTCTCTCTATGTAAAGGTTCTGGGCATCTGTTAACCTGAGAGCTGTATTTACACTCTTTCACCAGCCTGACCATCTCACTCAGCCTGACTGGTGTCATAGGACCTCCATTCTGGGCTGGGCTCCCTTTCTCATTTCCATGATAAGAAGCCAGACTCTGAAGGGCTGAATGGCATGAGGGGGAGGAGACAGACAGAGGGAGAGACAGGAAGATGGAAACCAGAGATGCAGAGACATATAGACACTTTGCAGAAGGGGCAGGAGGTTGGCAGAGAGGAGGAGAGGAGAGTGCTGGGGGCCACTGAGGAAGAGAGAGAGGTCAGAGAGACAGAAAGAGATCAGAAAGAGAGAAATATCAGAGAGAGAGAGATCAGAGAGAGAGAGACAGAGATCAGAAAGAAATATCAGAGAGAGACAGAGATAGCAGAGAGACAGAGAGACGCACAACGAGATGAGGGAGGGAGACAGACACACAGGTGGAGACATGCAGGGAGTGAGAGAAGGAGGCTGAGGTCTAGAGAAGCAGAGAGCAGAGTGAGGGGAAGGGACAGAGAGTGACACAGACTGACATGTGTTCAGAGACATATAATCAGACCAGAATTTTAGACAGAAGGCAGACATGAAACCAGCACACACAGAAAATCACACAGTGTTGGGGAGAAAGACCACATCGAATAAGCAGAACAGAGAAACCAGCTCGGCGCCTGTGGCTCAAGCGGCTAGGGTGCCAGCCACATACACCTAAGGTGGCGGGTTCGAATCCCCAGCCCGGGCTCGCCAAACAACAACGATGGCTGCAACCAAAAAATGGCCAGGCGTTGTGGCGGGCACCTGTGGTCCCAGCTCCTTGGGAGGCTGAGGCAGGAGACTCGCTTGAGCCCAGGAGTTGAGGTTGCTGCGAGCGTGATGCCATGGCACTCTACCCAGGGGGATAGCATGAGGCTCCGTCTTAAAAAACAAAACAAAACAAACAACAAAAAAAACCCCAGAGAAACCGGGGAGAACAGAACTGTGAAATGTAAAGGTGGAGCTCGAGGGTCTGCAGCAGAGACAGAGGGGTGGCCAGTAGCCCGGTGGCCTGGCATCGGCCCAGTCCAGCTGAGTGCAGGGACAGCAGCTCCCAGCCTCCAGAGGCTGACGTCACTCTGCTGCGTGGCATCCCCGGGAATCCACACGGAGGGAGGGAGAGGAGCCCTTCCTGTCCTTTCCAGCTGACTTAGGAGGGCAGCCTGGAACGCAGGGCCCAGCCAGGGCCAGACTCCATCAATAAGCAGAGGAGACTGCTCAGGAGGACTTCCTAGGGGTTCAGTCCATCTTTTATAAAAGAAGTAAGGAAGCCAGTTTCTCAGAGGAAGGAAGAATGCTGACCCCAGGAGGAGCACTACAGACGGCTCAGACTCTACCTGCCAGTCTGAGCTCCTGGCTGAGACCTTGGGGAGTCATGCCTAGCCTTGCAGCTGTGGCCCAAGACTGCCCTGCCTTGGAGTTGGGACTGTTTGGCTGCTCGGCCACCCTCTGCTGGCTGGTGCTCAAGATGGACAGGGCCTGGGCCAGGGCGGTGGGCTTGGGGCTGTACTGGTGTCTGCTTCCTGAGCAGCAGGTGGCTGACTATATCAGGGAGCCCATCCTCCCCACATATCTGCTAGTTCCAAATGGGGAACCACAGTACAGAAGTGTCTCTGCTGGTGCAGCCAGCCTGCTGCCCCTTCCTGGAGAATTACTAGGGAGGTGATAGGCTTCTCAGTGATCTCAATCTTGGTTTCCAAAGCATAATTCAAGTGGTCATGAAGATGTGATATGTATGGCGAGGAGCATCCAGGAGATCTCCCTCCAAAACCTCCCAGAAGAGCTGCAACCACTTCAAACTCCACAGCCTCCCCCTGCAGCTGCCTCCAGGCTGAGTCCCAGCTCTCTCTATATGCAGGGCTCATAGGCTAAGGTGGGTGTTGGTGGGAGACCATGGGTGTCCAGCGAGGAGGTTGCATCTTGCTGGGGCAGAAGCATGTCCCGAGGTATAGGAGCTTGGGAACTTCCATCTCTATCCCAACGTGGCTGGTCCGTGTCCACACACTGTGACGTCCACTGCTGTGAGGTGGAGCCCTCAACCCAAGTCTTGTTTAAGGAGGTGCCAGTTTGATAGGCTCTGGAGCCCTGCCACAGAGCTGAGGGGGCTGTTCTGGGGGCGTGCCCCTCACCTGTGTGTCCTCTGCCAAGTGATGAAGCTATGGGAGGCAGGGAGCCAGAGCATACGTGGTGGAGCCCTTCTAACTGTCTGGCACACACATCTGCTGCTATCAGATCACCCTGACAGGCCCCTCTGCTGCCCCGTCCCTCGAATTGCCCTTGCTCCTATCCTGAAGGGCCTTGTGAGGGCTCCATACTTGCCCAGACTAGAGGTGCCTGGGCCTCTCTCACTTCTCCTCTCCTCCGGACAGACCAGGGTTTGCTGAGCTCCAGTGGCATAAACAGTTTATGTCACATCCAACTACTAAACATGACTTTAACCTCATCTGTGATGTCAGCTGCATGGCTTGTAGGAGGACAACTGTGAGAGGGCTGGTGGGACTGAGCTCTTACTGGACAGCTGCTGCAGCTGTGTCTGTCCGTGCTTAGGTCAGTGCCCTGTGTGTGTGTGCCTGTACGTGCATGTACATGTGTGTACACACAGGTGTGCATTTGTGCATGTGTGTGCATGTGCATGTGTGTGCACAGGGGTACGCATTTGTGCCTGTACATGCATGTACATGTGTGTACACACAGGTGTGCATTTTTGCATGTGTGTGCATGTGCATGCGTGTGCACAGGGGTATGCATTTGTGCCAGTGCGTGCACGTGTGTACATGTGTGCGCATGTGCATGCATGTGCACAGGGGTACGCATTTGTGCCTGTGCGTGCATGTGTGTGTGTGTACATGTGTGCACACACAGGTGTGCATTTGTGCATGTGTGTGAATGTGCATGCACATGTGTGCATGTGCACACATTTTGGGGGGAAGTATGTTGAGGAGGGGGTGGGGGAAGAGAGAAGCTTCACGACTCAGTGATTTTATAGCACATCCATTTGGAACTTGGCATCTGGACACAGAGCCCAGATGTGGGAGGTTTTGCGGGTGTTACACTTCCTCTCCCATTACTCAGTCTGGGGGCTTTGTCTTCCGTTGGGTAACACATAAAGACCAAGGGAAACAAACAACAAATGTGCTTTTGCTGAGTCTGGATGCTTCTTGGTTGACTGAGAAAATGAGCAGGTTTATAAAGGCAGCTCTGAGCCAGCCCATGGTGTCCACAGTAAGCAGTTTAACACTTACTGAGTGAGCAAATGGGTCTATGGAGGAGGGAGAAGAGAAACAGGGGGAGGAAGGGGGAGGGAAAGGAGCAGAGGAGAGGAGGGCAGGGGGAGGGAGGATGGGGGGAGAGGGAGGCCAAATTCCACAGGCTCCACCTGACAGGCACATAGAAACACCTTCAACCTAGGTGAGACAGTGCATGGAGACCTCTCCCCTGCCGGGGCTGTGGGGACACCAGGGAGGGGCCGCCACACCCCTGTGACTGTGGGTCCTGGCACAGCTGATAGGTATAGATTGCCCAATGCATCAGGCACTATGCTAGGGACTGGACACAAATAATTTCATTTAATCCTCATGGCAGCCTTTGGAGGTGAGCGTTATTATTATACTCCATGCACAGATGAAGAAACTGAGGCACAGAGAGGTTCACTAGCCAAGTCAGTGTCACCCAATAAGTAGCAGAGCCAGATTTCACAGTAGGAAAAATGTGGTGGCCAAAAATACTGTCCTATATTGCCTTGGATAGGGCTGACCTAGGAACCAGGCAGTGGTTCCAAGCCTCACCCTGACCTCATTCCAGATGCCTCCTTCCTAATGTGGCTGGGATGTCCTTGGAAAGGAAGCCAGAAAGAGCCCAGAGACCTGACAAGGTCTCGTGGGACATGATTCTGTGGCAAATTGACCCTCTGTTGGCATTGAGAGCACAGGTGGGCTACTGTGAGGTGGGGACTTTCTTCTTGCCTGGAGAGCTTCTTCTGGGGTGAGGCAGAGTGTCCTGGAGCAGCAGCTCTGCCTCTTCCTGCCTCTTCCTGCCCTCTGCGCTGCACACACTGAGGGCCCTTCCTCTAGTCCTCACTCAGCAAGAGCCCTTGGCAGTGAGCTCTCGCTAGGCCTGGAGCCGGCCTGGTGTGGGGCCTGTGCGACTGTCAGACTCTAGGCACTGAGTGAGGCCTCTGCTCTCTGGCTGCCAAGATGGGCTTGTAGAACCCTAAAACTCAGCATCTCTGGAGTCCAGGCCCCAGGAGAGCCATGTGGAGCTCAGGGCCCAGGAATGCAGATGACCCAGGGCTGTTAGATGTGCATTTAAATGCATTTGATTTTAAAATGAGTAGAACACTCAGGAGAGCTTGAATCTAGCCTGTGGCTCCAGCCTTGTGATTTGGAGCTCATGACCAAAGTGGCTTTGTGCTCTGTCTGTGTGTGGGGTGGGGGCTCAGGGGAGGAACTGAGTGGGGGTACATCAAACCCAAACTGACCCAGTCCTGGGGTGAGGCCTCTGGGATCACCTTGTTGAGTGATTCTTGGTACTCTGATGCTAGTAGGCATCTTAGGGACACTTTTGGGAGGAATTTAGGGGCCTCTTTTAGGTGTCTCTTGGGATGCGATGCTGTAAACCTTTAAGGCATTGTTATTGTTAATATGAATGGCAGTGACTAAATCCACTGAGTCCACTAGGGATGGGCCCCGTGGGGTACAGAGGCGTGTTGCTGGGAGCTCTGCAAAGCTGCCTGCATTAGAGGCAACATTCTGGTGCCTCAGTTTCCCCAGATACTCCTCAGCAGTTGTGAAGATTAAATGTGAAAATGCATGTAAAGTGTGCACTAAATGTCACCCTTCCTTCCTGTCCCCTTGGCCCAAATTTGTGAGGGTGGCCAACACAGTGCTCTGCGCCCATCCTGGGGCCTGAGGCCCCTTCACTCCAGCCTCTCCACTCCTGCTTCCTCTTGAGTCTAGTGGACACTTCATCTTTACAGGTGTCAAAATGTGGCTTAAAAGATGTCCTTTGCAAAAGACCCTCATCTGCGAGGTTGCTTCCCAGGATGATGAGAAAGACAAGAGGGTCGGTCCTTCCCGCTGGTACACACAGACCAGCCAATCCACAGAGCTGACCGAGTCCTGCCTTCTGGTGGCTGGAGCAGGTTGTGGGCGTGTTTCCTACCCTGGACTGGTGGGCCGGGCAGGGCTGTTCGGTACTCACGCTGGATGTCAATGGTGACTGAGGTCTCCTTCCCACCAGGGATGGCTTTGTTGGTGGCACGGCACACGATGCTCTGGCCGTTCTCCACGTCGCCAGGGGAGATGAAGAGGGTGCTGATGATGCTCTCACGCTTGCCATCCCGGAGCAGGGTCTGGGGGCGGGGGAGAGGGTGAGAAAGCTCCTATCACTCGCTGCAGCTGTGATGGCTGGCAGCTCAGAAAAAAGAAGGGAGGGTCGTGGGTAGAGGAGGGGAGTCTGCTCAGGAGACTGCAGAAGACAGGGAGGGTTTGCAGCAGCAGGAGCTGGTGGCCTCTGGCAACATCAGTGAGCTGAGGGTGTGTTTGGGATGTGAGAGTCATGTCATGGTGAGGGTGATGTGGACAGGATCAGTGCATGCTGACCTTTGATTATTTACCTACATAAATCCTTTCAACTTTCCAAATCATTTTACTTCCTGCTGTCCTTATAGCCACAGCAGGACAGAGGCTGCTCTCTCGCATTTGCAGTGAGAGAGCACGGGAGAGGGATGGAGGCCATGGGGCTTGGCAATGCTCAGCTTCAAGTTGGTGGTGAAATAAACAAGTACTAGGGTCTTGCAGTAGGCTGAATAGCGTCCCCTTAACTCTTGACCTGGAACCCCAGAATGTGACCTTATTTGGAAGCAGGGTCTTTGTGGATTAGTTAATCAGTTAGGGATTAGTTAACCAGTTAGTAATTAGTTGAGACCTGGATTTAAAGTGGGCCCCAAACCCAATGACTGGTAGGTTTGTCAGAAGAGAAGACACAGAGAGACACAGAGGAGGAGGCTATGAGAAGATGGAGGCAGAGAGTGACATGAAGCTGCCACAAGCCCAGGAGTGCTGGCAGGGCTGTGGAGCTGGGACAGGCAGGAGGGGTTATTCCTGGAGCCTAGGAAGGGCATGCACCCTGCTGACAGCTTGATTCAGGTTGCTGGCCTCTGTACCTGTGACCGGAAGAGCATGCATTTCTGTTGTTTAAGCACGAATGTGGTCCTCCACCGTGGCTAACACATATCCTAGACCACTGGCCCTCACTGCACCATGGGGCCATTCTGTACCCAGCCCCCATACGGCTCCTTCCTATCACTGCTATGTGGTAGGGGTGGGAGGGAGCATCCAGGTTGGGATTGGAGTCTGTCTAGTACTCAGAGACTACTGGTCCCAGGAAGGGACTTCATGCCCTCTAGAAAAAGGGTGCCGGATACAGTCCTGTTTTGTCCCGAGACTGCAGTCCCTTGAAACCTCTCATACAGTAACAAGGGCCGCGGAAGGGAGGGAGCATTATCTCTATTTAGCAAAAAGAAAACTGAGTTCAAAGTGAGTCAAAAACTTGCTGGGTGGAGCTTGGATTTGCATTTAAGAATGAGTGAGCCCTGAGCCACGACCTTCTGCCACAGCTCATGGAGATGCTGGTGTGTGGGTATCGTTAGCTTGGCAGTGCAGGCAGGAAGAACTGGGGTGATTAAGTAACTTCCAAGGTCACTGTACTTGTTAGCAGCAACCTCCAGGCTGCTTCATGGGCCCTCAGTACAACCTGGTTCCTCAACAAGGGGCAAAACTTGTGCCTCAGAAAAACAGGGCCTGTTCCAGAAGGGTACAACCTGCTCTAGAGGCAGCCACAGGAGCTCTGGGACTTGGGGTGCTGGCCTGCACTGGGCAGAGGGGCCCTCCCAGAGGGCTGGGGGCTGGAGGAGAGTGATGGGTCCAGACCCTGAAAGCCAAGGGACCTGAGCCTCAGGGCAGGTGCTAGACCAGAGGTGGCAAAAGGGGGTAGACATGTAGTTGGGCCCCCAAACCGGAGCCAGAGCAGGAGGGAACTGCAGCCAGCACCATGTTACCGGTGTTACCAGTGGGCTGCGCTCAGTTCAGCTCAGCCAGCCGCCCTTCGGCAGACCTCAGCGTCTATAAATAGTCAAGTGATAATAAGAACAATTTCCTGGATGAAAATAAGACCCGGGTAGGAGGAGGGAAGATGGGGAGGGGGCTCAGTATTGTTCTTCTCATCTCCTTTATTTTTTCCTGGTGCCAACAAGGGACATTTACATAAGCTTGACTCTGCCAGGAACCCCTCAACTGGATAGGCTCTGGGGAGTGGAGGGGAGAGAGCTCTGTGGGTGCCACGGGAGGGGAGCAGGGCTGGCTCTAATTAGGCCCTCTGCCTGCTCCCCTCCTCCCTGCACTCAGCGTGCTTCTCCGCCTCGGAATGATGATTAACGACATATTTACTGGGTTCGGGCGTGCGCTTTTCTGGGAAATAAAAATTCTGGTTCAAGTTGTTTGTTCCACCTAATTAGAGAAAAAGGGAGATGTGTTCATTAAACAAGGCAGGAGCCAGGAGCAGGCAGGAGCCCCAGTGCCACCCCCAGGGAGGCCCTAGCACAGTGCCTGGTCCCTGCTGTGGGACCCACACCTGGGCAGCAGGTATCCCAGGGAGGGGTCTGGTCTCCTGGCTCTGCTGTAGCATGGCTGCAGGGAGAGGGTGAAGCACTGGGTCCGGGGGTCGGGGGGTCGGGAGGTGGGGGGCAGTGTGTGTTCTCCTTTTCCTTTCCCTTATTCCTTTCTGATCTCATCTTTCCTTTCTTCTTTCTCTTTTCTCTTGCATCATTCCTCTTGTATCAGTCTCCCCAGTCCTCACTTTCTCATATTCAAATGAAGTCTTTGGACCTTGCAGCCTTGGCCTTGAAGGAGCCTTCACTATCCAGGAAGCCTCATGGTTCTCAGGTCCTCAGCACAGCCGCTCCTGCCCTCCCAGCTACCCCTTTCCCTCTCTCTTCCTTTTAGTGCACATGGCTTTAGGGACACACCATGGACATCACTGTCCCCAGCTCCTGCATCAGAGCCCTCCACCAGCATGTGAGGCTACTCTGGAGGAGAAGTGGGCCCCATGTTTTGGGGACCACCAACTCTGAGGCCTCCCTCAGCCCATTGGGCACTAATTTGCTGCCAGACCCGAGCCTCCAGGACTCCCAGGTTGCCCATGTGACCGTGATGGTGGCTCTAGGTCTCTCAGGGGCACAGGCACATGCAGCAGTGTGTACATGTCACATGTGCAGAAATGAGCGCCCGCACGAGCCTCCTTGGAGTGGTTCCCACCCCTTCCTTGTCCTGTCCATGTATGTTCACAGGCCTCTGCCCACTGACTGCCCCCGTGCCTGTGGGCCTGGCTCCTCCCTGAGTACTGCCTGCCCTGGGACTGCTGGGGTCTGTGCAACAGCCCTATCACCCATCAGTGAGGGCCAGGAGCCAGTGTCCATCTCTGATTTTCCAGCAGTGGCCTGGCAGGCTGGGGACAGAGGGTACCCTGGGTGCAGTTTGTCCAGTGTGGGCCGTGGCAGCTGCTCTGTTCTTTCCAAACACCCCAGGACCCCAGCTGGGCAGTGGGGAGCAGGCTGAACCCTCAGAGAAGGGGAGCCTGAAGGGAATGCAGTGTGTGGGTGCCCTAGCCCTAGAGCTAAATACGGTTTGCTCATTGATATGCAAACAGCCTGGGAAGGCCTTGAGCAAGCCTGATTGCCTGGCAACCAGGCCAGCTCTGTTTTCTTGTTGTCCCACTCACCTCCCCCACCTGCTGGGTCTTCCTTTTTTTTTTTTTTTTAAATTATCACTCTGTTTCCCCTTTTTATAACTTCTTGCAGATACAAGTGAGCCTACTGTCACCTGGATTGAATAAGGGACAGCTGTATGACCCCTGTGGCCTGAGCTGACAGGTGGGGTGTAGAGTGACAGGGTGACTGGTTGAGAGCAGGGCCCTGGAGAGTGAGCACTCTTGCCTTTCTGAGCAGGTCTCCTGAGCGCCTCTTAGCACTGGCAGTGGGTGGGCTGGCGGCCTGAAGAAGAGGAAGGGGAGAGGTAGGGCTGGAGGGCAAGAGGCCCCAAGGAGAACAAGGGCTGGACTGTGCATGCTAAGACTGAGTGGCCTCCTGCCAGGCTGGCCCCCTCCCTGGGAAGTAGTAGGTAGGGCCGGAAGGGGTCTTCCTGGGCAAGGGTGCTCTCTGGGCCCACCCATATTCTCTTCTCTTCCCTTCCCTGCCCCTCTTTCATCCTCTGGTTGAGGACCCATGGGCATCCCATGCCATGCGGCCCCATTCTGTGCCAGGCCCAGAACACATGAGGAATAAGGGAGGACACCACTGTCCTCAGATGGCCCAGCACTAGGTGTCCAGGAAGATACTTGGAGGGAGGCCTTTTTCTGCTCATGTCCCTGGGGCCAGACACCCTTGGAGCCCACCCAGCAGTGTGCTGACCCCAGCACCCAGGTCCAGTAGCAGAAGCATCAGCAGCCTGTGCTGGGGGAGGGCCGGAGGGTGGTGGGCGCCTAGTGTCCTCTGGAAGGACGCATGGGGGAGCAGCAGAGAGAAGAGCTGACTAACAATCTGGAGACTTTGCGACCCAGGGCCCTGTTTATTTTATTTATTTATTTTTTGAGACAGAGTCTCACTATGTCACCCTTGGTAGAGTGCTGTGGAGTCACAGCTCACAGCAACCACAAACTCTTGAGTTTAAGTGGTTTTCTTGCCTCAGCCTCCCAAGTAGCTGGGACTACAGGCACCCACCACAATGCCAGGCTATTTTGTTGTTGCAGTTGTCATTGTTGTTTAGCTGGCCCAGGCCGGGTTTGACCCACTAGCCTCAGTGCATGTGGCGGTGCTGTAACCACTATGCTACGGGCACTGAGCCTGGGGGCCTTTTTAATGAAATAGCCATGTGACCTCTGGGGCAGGGGAACTGCAATTCAACTAACGTTGATCAAGGCCTCACCCCATGGGCCGCTTTTTACAGGCATCTTCAGTGCATAATTCCTTCTAAGTCACATACTTGACAGGTGCCCGTGATTAGGACCCTCCCTGTTTTGTAGCTGGGGAAACCAAGGCAGAGATATTAAGTCACCATAATATGTCATGGAGCCCAGGCTTGAACCCAGGTCTGTAGGAACACGTGGCCTGCCCTGATGTGACACTGACATCTGCATCTAGAAGGTGCAGATGACACGTGAGGATCCAGCGGGGGCAGGCAACACTGTTGGCAGCCACACATTGCGTACTGTGCTGGGTGAGCTTCTGCTCCAGCCTCACACTTGCTCTCCAAGTGGGCCTTGCTGTTGCTCCCAATGTACAGATGAAGCGCTAAGGTACTGCAAGGTTAGGTCACAGCAGGGAGGTGGTGAAGCCTGGATTCAAATCAGGCTGCCCAGCTGTGGGGTGCACAGACCTAATGACCCACCACGTGGCAGGTGGCAGGTGACAGATGTAGAGGGCCGCAGACCCCAGGGCTGCCAGGACTGACTGTGTGTCTTTCTGTGTATCTGGAGCTCTCTGATCACGTGTGCATCTGTGCATGCTCTCAGCCTCCCCTCCTCTGCCCTTCCCCATGTACATTCCTGCCTGTGGGCATCAGAAGAGGGGTCTGTCTTGTGATCATGGTCCTTTCATTCTGGGGGATGCAGGGAGCCTGGGTTGGGCCCTGAGAAGGGTGGGCTCTGACAGCCCCTACAGGGGCTTCCTGATTGCCCACCCCTCTCAGCATGCTGTGGGTCCTGTAGCTTGTCAGAGCTATAGGCACCTTTCCAGAGCATCTGATCTAATATTTGCAGACAAGGGGCTGGAGGCCCAGTGAGTGAGCTGCCTGAGGGAACACAGGCCCAGGCTGCCTGTGCTGTGCCTCTTGGAGCACCAGGAGTGTGGACACGTGGGGCAGAGGGTGGACGGTGGCCTCTGCTGCCCTGGTCTCCAGTTGGTACTGGGCTAGGCTCTCTGAGGAACCTTCCCAGCCTGGACTAGGATGACATGCTGGGGTCAAGGTGGTCTCAGGACAGGTCTGGGAGGATGACTGTGACCTTCCTCTTCACCAGAGCAGTGTGTCCTCTGTAGGAGGGCAGGACAGGCACCCACACAGGAAGGGACACCCTCGTTTCCTCCCCTCCTCCTCTGGATGATCTGCTTCCTGTGTGGTATTTTTGTATTTCATAACACGACAGGGTGGCTTCAGGGCTTGGGGGGATTTGCCTCCCGAGAGGTAGCCTTCCTCTGGAGGGACTTATGCTGAGAGAAGCTATTTGCCTAGGATTTTGGCGCCAGGCTCTGGGTGCTTTGTCCATCAGCCCTGGGCTGACCCCTCGGCAGGACGGTCATTTTGGGCAGGAAGGACACACTCTCAGATCAGGGTGGGCTCACCTCACATCCTCCACTTGCTATATCCTGGAAAGACCAAAGACCTGCTTATCTTTCTAGGGTGGGGCAAATGGAGGGAGGAGGGCCTTGGGGCCAAGGGGGGCTGTGGTCTGGGTGGGGGGGGATCCCTCCGCCTGCACAACCCTCCAGTTGTCCTGGGCTCCATATGACCAAGTGGTGCCCTCTGGGCTGCCATCTGTCTGAAGCAGAGGGCTGGGCCTCAGAGAGCACTGCCTGCTCCCTCTGCCCTGTCAGGCCTCAATTTTCTACAGAGGTTGGCCCAGCTGACCTGTAAGGCCTTACTTATCTCAAAGGCTCCGCAGTGTGTAAATGCCACCTGGGCCTCTGCAGTCTCCTTGAGGGGAGTTTAGTGGGGCTGTTTCAGAATGTGCCTTAGGATTTTGCTTTTATACAGCTACAGTGAGGCCCGTGATTAAGGGAGATCACTGCCACTGAAAAGACAGTTTGTTACTCACAGTTCCCAAGAGGCAAGGGCATGCCACGTCACATAGGGCCACACGTGTATGACCTGGGGTCAGTGGGGGGCTGAGGGAGTGAGGGGATGGTGTGTGGTTTGGGTGGGAAAGAAGAGGCAGGGTAGAAAGCTGAGAGGGCTTAGGATTGGGTAGTTTGAATAGTATCCATGGGCTCTGGGCTAAAGAGGTGGCCTGTAGTTGTCTGATGTGTGGCCTTGGGGAGATGTGGGGGGGTCTGATGAAAGGAGGCTGTGGAGCCTGGATGTCAAAGGCATGCTTGCAGGCAAATTGTTTGCCGTCTCTAGGAATTAGTCAGCTCTAGTCTCTCCCAGGGTCTACAAGGCTCCAAGATGTCAAATCATCATGAAATATAGAAAATAAAAAAAACATGATTAGTACAGGGGCCGTTCTGGGGCACTTTTGGCCTATGGTATGTTGTGTGAATTAGAGAAAAGCTCTCCTTGGTACCCACACCAGCCCTCCCTGGCTCCTGAGCCAGGAGCCTTGAGTGGGGTGGGACATGAGTAGCCTCACTGGCAGTCCTGGAAAGGAGGCCAGATTAAGCAAATAAAAACAAAGCAGGGACAGTTAAATTTGAATTTCAGATAAATGGTAATTTTTTGTGTAAGTATGGCCTAAAAGTATGTTCTAGGCATTATTTGGAACATATTAATACTAAAAAATTATTAACATTTTTTTCTGAAATTCAAATTTAACTGGGCATCTATCTTAGCTCATTTGGACTACTATAACAAGATACCCCAAGATGGGCAGTTTATAACCCACAGGGATTTATTTCTTAATATCCTGGAGGCAAGGGAGCATAAGACCAAGGCAGACGGGGTCCTGTGAGTGTTGGCACCTGTCGTAGATGGCCCTCTTCTCACTGCGTCCTCACCTGGGGAAGGGGCTCTTCTGGCCTCTGCTTTAAGGGCGCTAATCCTACTCATGAGGGCCCCACCCCACAACCCAAACACTTTCCTTAGGCCCTACCTCCTAATGTTGTTACCTTGTAGGTAGGATGGCAACTTAGGAATTTGGGGGAGGATGCAAATATTCAGACCCTAAGCCCTGGATACTTCTGTCCCTGAGTCTCCTGTTTGGACCACACTTCATTCTTAGGGTCGTCACTAAGCCCAGAAGTTACCCTGGGGGTTGTGGGAGAATGGAGCAGAGAGACAGAAAAGGTCAGACAAAGGAAGGATGTACATACAGATGAGGAGGGCAGCCATAGCATGAGAGAGAAGATGCAGAGAAACAAACAGTTGACAGAAACACATAAATATGGGCAGGGAGAGCTGGTTCCCTCCCCAGTCCTCCATGAGCCCCTCCCCTCTCACCCCTCCACCTGCCCACTGTGCCGCACCTTGGAGTAGGTGGCTCCATTGATGACTTCTCCCTTTCGCAGCCAGATGATGGAGGCCGCGGGCTTGGCATTGTCTGCATGGCAGGTGAGGTTGAGGGGGTCCCCTGCCCGCAGGCTGATCACTGGCCCCCCAAGGATGATGGGGTCATCGGGTGGCACTGCAGGAGAGGAGCAGAGAGGTCAGCCCCTGGCAGGGTTGAGACTGGGAGGATGACAGACAGTAATTACCACACTTTAATAAAACATGGGATCCCCGTGCATTACCAAAGTAGCGTGCAGCCTCAGTGAGCCCTGACACACACACTGCTTGTGCATAGTAGAGGGAGGCCTGGGTCATCATCACAGCCCTGCTTGGCAAGAGGATGAGAGCACACGTGGGGCCCAGATGATGTCTGCACTTTCTTTTCTTTTTCTTTTCTTTTTTTTTGAGACAGTCTCACTGTGTTGCCCTGGATAGAGTGCCGTGGTGTCATAGCGCACAGCAACCTCAAACTCTTGGGCTTGAGGAATCCTTCTCCATCAGCCTCCAGAATAGCTGGGATTATAGGCACCCACCACCACCCACCATTTGTAGAATCGGGGTCTCACTCTTGCTCAGGCTGGTCTTGAATTCCTGAGCTCAAGCAATGCACCTGCCTCAGCCTCCAACACTGCTGGGATCACAGCTGTGCACCACCGGCCAGGCCTTGTACTTTCTTTTTAACTTTTTTCTTCTTGTGTTAAACAAAACCCTGTTATATCTGTTGACATCATAATGATCACCCCAGTTGTACAGATCTAGAAACTGAGGCTTAGCAGGATTAGGTGACTTGTCTAAGGTCACATGGAGGACTGGCAGAGCCAGGCTGGCCCCCTTCCCTGGCAGAGGCAGGTGACAGAGCTCCAGAGGGCTGTGCCCACCCTGAACCCCCCCCCCCCCGCATTCGCAGAGTGCTCCAGCCCCATCCCAGAGTCGGAAGAGTATCTTCTGGTCTGGTTTCCTCACTGCATTTATAGTGTGGTTGGCGACCTGGAGGCAAGGAGTGTCCATAGTGGGGCCTGTGGCTGGTGGGAGCTCCACAGATATCTGCTGGTTCCAGTGACCCCTCCCCCCCACATCCCATGGAGACCACAGGGTGTAGGACAGGCAGTTGAGATAGGGGTGGGTCACTGTTTGGGGAAGAGGCCCAGAGCAGTGGAGTGGCTGTCTAGGGATACACAGCCCCTTCTGGTGTTCACGCTGTGCTCATGAGGGCACACGGAGGGTGTCAGGCCCCTGCCGTTTTCTAGGCTAGTTACAGAAGGAGTAGAGCTACTCCAGGGGGCTGGGTCAGCCAGCTCTGGAGGCTCAGTGAGCTGCATGTGTGCTCAAAAAAAGGCGAGGAGTGACCGGTGCTGAAGGACAGAGCATGAACAGTCTTGTTCCTGGTTGCCAGACAGAGCTGAGCCTTTCCTCCAGGCCCTGGGCAAGCTTCTGAGCTTGAGGCTGGGGAGGCTCAGAGCTGAATGGTCAGCCCCAGGCTAGTCTGACAGAGCAGGCTTCACTTTCCAGCCTCAGCCTGCCCCTCTGTTGGTCCACCCAGGCTCTTTGCAAGCTCCAGGAGGGGCAGGAGACTCCCCTTGGGGCCAAGATTAGGGTTAGAGGTACCCCAAGCAGCAAACCTTTAGACTTGGCCATGAAAGAGTCTAGTCCAACACGGACAGCCCCAGCAGGGCCATTTCCTGAGGAGAAACGGCCCCTCGGGGCTTGCAGGAACTGTCACTGACCCCAGGGGCAGCAGCTCTAGACCCCATCAGGATCCTGGCTAGGGAGACAATTGGCCTCATCCCACTCTGCCTGGCCCTCCTCCCTCTCAAGCCTGGGCCCTCCTGCCAGGCCCCTGCCAGAGCTCATGGCCTGGAATCATGGGAAGTCCCTGGAGCAGGGGCTGAAGGATGCTGGTCCCTTCTCTCCTGTCAGTGTGAAAGCATGCAGAGGGCTGCAAAGGGCCCCAGTGCTGACATTTGTCCCATCTAAGGGCTTTAAAACCCTGGTGGCTCCTTGGACCCCCACTAAGCCCTGGTGCCAAACATCCCGTCTTTGGAGGTAGGCCTCAGGCATCCGGATTTTTTTTTTTTTTGCAGTTTTTGGCCAGGGCCAGGTTTGAACCTGCCACCTCTGGTATATAGGGCTAGCGCCCTACTCCTTTGAGCCATAGGCACTGCCCCTGCATCTGGACATTTTTTTTTTTTTGAGACGGAGCCTTAAGCTATCCCCCTGGGTAGAGTGCCATGGCATCACAGCTCATAGCAACCTCCAACTCCTGGGCTCAAGCGAGTCTCCTGCCTCAGCCTCCCAAGTAGCTGGGACTACAGGCGCCCGCCACAACACCTGGCCATTTTTTGGTTGCAGCCATCATTGTTGTTTGGTGGGCCCGGGCTGGGGATTCGAACCCGCCACCTCAGGTGTATGTGGCTGGCGCCTTAGCCGCTTGAGCCACAGGTGCCGAGCCTGCATCTGGACTTTTAAAGCTTCCCAGGGATACGCATGCCGGCCAAGTGTGAGAGCCAGCTCTCCCCTGGCCCAGGTGTGCGGGGGTCACTGCTCACTCTGCCCTGGGCAAGGCTGGGAAGGCCTTTCCCCAAATCCTCCTGGGTCCTGCAGTGTGTGGACTATGGGATCAGAGGGAGTGAGTGCAGATGCAGAGGATGGAGTGGGGCTGTGCTGTGGGAGTGTCAGGCACACACGCCTCCCCTACCCCCTCCAAACACCCGCCTCAAAATGGGCCTGATTGCATCTTCCCAAATCAGCGGTTCTCGCCCACCCGTTATCCATACAGCCGTGCATTACTGATTGGCCTTCGCCTCACTGAACACTAGATGGGGGTGGGTGTGGGTGGGGCTGGGAGGCGTGGGGTGGGGGTGAGGAGGAGGTGTTTGGGGGCCAGAAGGCTGAATAGAAATCCAGCTGCTCTGGCAGCTGTGGCCGGCGTGGAAGGGCACTGATCACTCTCCATCAGACCGCCTGCGGCTGGGGTCGAGCGGGGAGGAGGCTGTGGGGCTGCAGCCTGGCAATGCATTATTCATACACCCCTCCCAGGACTACTTATTATCCTCAGCCAGTCTAGAGTGTGTACTCCTAATTTTTAATCACAAGGAAGGTGGAAGCGTTAGCCTTTTGGTGATTAATCTGAAGATAAAAATAGTGGATTGTTTTGTTGCTATGCTTGGTGTCAGTCAGGAACAAAACCACATCACTGTTGGGGGTAAGGCCTGGGAGGCCCTGAGCGGTCCCAGGCAGAGTCTGTCCAGTCCTGCCTCAGACAGGGCTGCCAGGTGAATCTTCAGCCCCCAGATGGCTCCTGGGGTGCTGACTCTGAGAGGAACATACCATCCGGATTAAGGCCCCACAGTGAAGGGATGGTTGGCCCCTACAGTTTACTCTCATAAGCCAGGGTTTGGGAAGGCAGCTGGGGTCTGTCTCCCCGCCCTGGCTCTCCCTGACACCAGCTCCGTAGACTGCCCATACCTGGGTGGACAGTGTGGGGCGGTCCCTTTCCCTGTGTGTGGAAGTCCCCGAGGACTTTTGTGGAGCTCCGCAGCCCAGGGAAAGGGGGTCTCATGTGGAGAGATGAGCCCAGCAATGTCACACAGTCTAGTTCCCCACTGGTAGAGAGGGAAACTGAAGCCTAAGAGCACAGGAAGTGGTCCGAAGGGTCCAGGGAGTGAAGGCAGAGAAGAGTGAGAATGGGCTTGGAAAGTGTCTCCTGGCTCCAGCCAGAAGAGAGGATCTCACCTGTTCCTGTGCTGAGGGTCTGCACACCCCACAGCTTATACTTGTGCCTAGGGTCCACACAGCCCATAGCTGTCTCTAATATGTGCTCCCACAAGGCCTTGCACTTCTGGGCTACAGCATGTTGCCGGGGTGAACACCTATCTGTCTTTGATAGGACATCAGCTGGACATCAGATGGAGGGTCAAGTGGGGCTGGGTTCGAGGGGTCTATTCTAGAGTCAGTGGTCACCTCTTTGCCTCTATGCCCAGCCATTGTATACCCTCAAGCTCATCTGCTGGGCTGGCCATGGAATGCTAGTTGGCCAGCCTTGTCTGAGCAGGCTGGGGGACAGGGCAGCACGGTGGCTGCTTCCTCCAGTGTCCCCTAGTGCGGCCTCCAGAAATTCCTGTGATGCTCCATCAGGCCAGATGGTTGGTCTTCAGAGAAGGCCAGGCTTCCATCGTGGGCAGCTGTGTCATCCTCTTGCCCCTGGGACATGTTCCTGTCTTGGTGTCTACCTCGCCCTGTGAACATCTCTGTGTCTGTGCCTTCCCCCATCCTGAGCCCATCTTTGGCAGAGTCCCCATGCGTGGGGCACAGTGGGGCGCGTGTTTGTTGATCTGAACTTGGTTTGAGCACATCACTTAATAAGCTGTCTGATTGTGGACAAGTCAAATAATCCAGCAAACTTAGCCCTCTTATCTGTGAAGTGGGATAACAAAAATACCTGTCTCCCAGGGTCATGAGGATTACTTCCTTCTAATTTAGCTTTGTGGCTGCGTGAAAAGCACTGTGCCAAGAGCCTCTTACTATATTCTCATCAACCTTTGAAACAGGAACTATTAGGGTCTCTATTTTCTAAGTTAGGAGACTGAGGGAGAGGGCAAATTACTTGGCTAAGTCACACAGCCATGGTGGAATTCCAAGTTAGACTCGTGTTGCTTTGGGCCTAACCATGTTCTGCTAGAGTCAGGGCAGCTCACGGACCTGCTGTCAACCCTCATTCTGATCCTACAGGCTCTGAGCCCCCAGGACATTCAAACCCCCAAACATTCTCCTTCCAGCCTCTCCCACCTGAATCCCAGAGGGCTCCAGGAAGCACGATCCTGCTTGCAGGTGGTGCTTGGGAATGGAGGGGTGGTCCAACCATCTGGACCTACCATCTGTTCTCAGGTCCTCAGATCCAGGTCTACAGCCATGTTCTGCCTTGTTCTCTGCAGCCCAGTCCTGCCCTGTCCTCAGGTCTCAGATCCCAGGACCGGCTTCCTCACTTGCATAGCTGTGCCACCTAATGGCCAAAGTGCAGAATTGCAGCATGTGGGGCGGGGAGTGGGGTGACCTGGTTTACCAGGTCTGCTTCCCAGTGCTAGTTGAGCACTCAGGACCCACCTAGTGCCAGGCGCTGCTCTAAGCACTGGGGACACA